TCCTTTCTTTTGACTGTCCCTCATCCCCCTGCTACAAATTCCTTTCTCTCCACAGTCTTCTGCTGCTGTAAAATCAAAGATGGCAGCTATTATTTTCACCAAAAAATACTGAGCACTTGGTTGCCAAACTCATGACTGTTCTGTAGACTAAGCTCATGACAGAGTCTCCTTCTTAATCCCAAATTCACAAGTCTAGGTTTTGATTCCTAAAGGGGACTCAGAATTTTTCCTCTGTTCCATGCTTGAGAGAAGACACAAAATATCTTTCTTCATTCCTTGCTTAGACCCACCATGAAAAAAAAAGAGGGTTCAGTAAAAATATTTGTAATTGTATCAATGTAGCATAATTTTTCCACTGGTTTTGAAGAGAATTGCAGCACAGATATTGAGTCTAAAAGAAACTGCGGTGCTTCATCGGTAGGGAGTATTACATGATAATTTGGCGATATTAACTGTGTTTATAATTTAGACTGGCTATTGTCGAGAGCTTCTAAACCTGATGTTTTGAGCATGAGCCCAAAATCAGACCCAAGCATAATACATGTATGGTTGGATATAACCATGAGCCATTACAACAACTTTTTATATACAAGTTAACAGTTCAAAAAGCAAGAAAATTATACAACTTTATTTTAGTTGATCATGAAAAACAGCCCGATTAAACTACCAGAAATGAATTCAAATGAGTTTGCACAAAATAAATTTTATGTCTTTACAACTGTAATAGTTAAAGCAATAACAATCCAGCTTAAAAGGCTTGCTTTCACAGGAAGAAATATTGAGACAAACAAGTGGAATTTAAGAAAAAAAAATTACAGAGATGCAGCTTTCATCAATGTGTTGAGTGTTGGAAGAAATCTAGAAGGAAACAAAGATACAATTAATGAATGTGCTGCTTTCACAACTTATATGTCATGTAGCCACCAATAAGCACTCTTCAGTAAGAATGCTTCTCACTACATGACATTCCTTTCCATGAAATTGATTCCATACCAAATATCATGCTCTTAACACAGATAAATGGAAAAATAGTGACCAACATTTGCCTATCAAAGAACCACAGGTACAAAAGTAGAATTATATGACTGTGAGATGGTATGTGAAGTTTTTCACAATCCCTATAAAATCCAATGGTTTTTTTTTCCAAACTATCATGAAATTGCTGACTACAACTCAACAAGATCTGCTTTTATTATTTGTTTATTTATTTATTTCTCTTAAAAAGTGGCCATCTTCAAGACAGCTGAATGGCCATCTAGCTAAAAGCTTGGTTGTCATCAGAAAATGTAATAGATGTGTAATCTGAATTGAGAAGCCAGCTTAGTAAGGATAAATAATCAAACTTACTAGTAGCACTATACATCCAAAAAGTATTTCTCATTATTTACTGTTTCCATATCAAAATGAAATCAGGAGATTTTTTCTATTGCCAAGGGTGTGTTAATACCAGAAAACCCCTATAAAAAGACACATAGAGCAAAATGGAAGAACTATCAACCAACTCAAATCATGTTTGAAACCTGATCTAGGAATCAAACCTTAGCCACAGCAGTGCAAGGCCAGCACTCTTCCAACAGTTATATATTGGTCTCTTTCTGTTCATTATCTCCTTAAGAAGACTTACCTACTGTGCTTGTGCTTGACGAGCTTGTTCCTCGACCCACATCTGTTCAGCAACTTTCTCTGCATCATAGTTCTTGTAGAATTCTTCATACTTTCTCCTCTTTGGATCAGCATAGCCAAACTTCCATATGCAGCCAGCAATAATGCCCAGCCCAATGGACCTCAAAATAGCTCTTTGGAGGTTTTTCTGCACAAAGCCACGAAGTTGAGGAGGTGCCATAACTGAGGGAAGATGCCAATATGTGTATGTCAGACAAACTTCTTGAGTTTCAACAACAACTCTTTATACCCTAACATTAACATTGAATTTCATATTCTCCGCACTGCATACTCTCTAGGATACTGAAATGAAGAATTTTTTTGACAACCAAAAGCTTCTTAAATTAGCAATCATTCCATTATTCTCATGACCTTTATATTTGATTCAAGGGTGATATTTTAAGGAGAAAGTAGACGCCAGACACTTTCGGGGTGAAAGGGTCAAGGTTTCCAAGAAGCTTCTTTGCAACATGGCACTGTATGCCCTATTAAAAGGTAAATCAGTGCTGTAGGCCCAAGTTCTCTTGGTATATCTCACATTTGAAAAGAATTATAAATTTAATTCAACTTCTGGACTGCTTTGATAGCTGCGTTTGTAATTCACAAAGCAATCAAATAAGTACAAGATCGCAATAACAACAACATCATTTCGTTACTGGGTGATGATCGGGTATAACTTGCCCTAGGTTCGCTAGTTTAGCCTAAAACCGATTACGCTATTACAATGATATGTACGAAGTGTAATCTCTTCGTATAATTCCGTGAGTTTTTAAGATATATCAGCCTGGATTGAAATTATCCCGAACGATGACGATATTTCGGGCCCAAAATTGAAAGCCAAAAGCATTCAAGTGCACAAAAAGAATAGGGATGTTTGAAAATCATAAATTAGACAAAAAAATAGAACTCAGATTACCTGAAAATCCACAAAATAGAGAGCTAAATGACCCTATGGTTTAATTCCACTACAGCTCGCTCAAGTTCGTATAACTAATACAGCTTCTGCGCGTAATCAACTTGGGTAAGTTTGCTGGCCGGATATACCGTAAGACACGAACAGTGCACGAAATCTACAATACCAGTATTTGCGCCTGGCATGGCACCTATCCAGCTTATAGCTAAGGTCTTGAGGAGCCCATTAAGTTATTGCAAATAAGGAGTTGCAACATTCTCCTTTAATTGGTTTGGATAGCAAGGTAAAACATCGGCATTGAAGCGGAGTGTCTGAGAGATGCAACCGCCGGTCCGATCTTATGAACATTTCTGTTCTCCGCGAAAATTATCAGTTGTTATTGAGAGAGACATGAGCTCGTTCGCAGCTTATGCCCGTAGAATATAGCGCAAACTTTGGCTAGTTTATGCCAAAAATTTTTTTGCGAAAACAACATGCCTCGATTCAAGCTCTTTAGCGAAAGAGCTCGATCGCAACTTATGCCCATATAATTTAGCGTAAACTTTGTCCAGGTTACGCCCGAATGTTTTTTTGTGAACAACAACATGCCTCGACCCAAGCTCTTTAGCGAAAGTGACTCTCACAAAGGCGTGGTGGCGCGGTCAGTTTTAAAAACTTCCTGTAAAATTGTCACGTGATCCGTTGTGTTCGTTCGTCTGGTGCAAAATGGCGGTTTGATCGTCTGATTGATTCGGCATTAGACTTCAAATCTTGCCCATGCCTGACAATTTCCAACTTGAAAACGATCGGATTCTTACGGTATTATCGAACGCTAACGGTTCTTTCGGGAAATGAGTACGGAGAAGGGCGAAACGAAGAGAAAGAAAGGTATAACATGGGCTGAAGCCGCCAAACAGGTAAACTGCAATGGTGACACAATGAATGCAATGTCAGCTGACTCGGAGCTCTACGATTTTTTCTAAGCAGTTACATCATTAATTGAGGAGTATTAATTTTACTTGTAGGTGTTAGAGAGGTCTACCGAGCCGCTTACACATAAAGACATCCTCAAGGTCATTAAGGAAGAGGGTTTGCGCGATTTGAGGTAAGTAACAGCGATGCGTTCTTCGCCAGTTTGTGATTGACAGACTTGAAGATTAGTGGCAGTTCATTGATTTTGTTGGTGAAGAGGTCCCTTTTTCGTGATCATGACGTTTTTATAAGGCCTGTGTAATATTTGACCCCAGTATAGTACAAACTCACCAACTGTAAAATGATTTTGAACAATCGAAACAAAGCTAAGGTATTTCGAATAAAGTTGCGCTTTATGGATGCTGGCGACCTTTACTTTTTAATCTACAGTATAACATAGATTGGTACGAAGATTGAGTTTTTTCTTTATTTTAGCAGGACTTTTGAGCATTTTATTACCTATTCAAAATTGGCCGACTTTTTTTGGTTCGATTTTTTGCTGCGAAGAAGATTGTATAAGTATTCGTGAATCAAATTAGAGGGGGAATGGGAAGGAATATACCAACTTTGGGATCTTGGACCATCTCCAAGTTCTTCGGAATTGAATTCCTTAAATATCAAATTTTCGTGGGCTATTAGCCAGGGAGGCTGTATTTTGATATTGCTCTGTTTGGTTTGTATATTATTTTGTTTCAATTATTTCCTTTGTTATTTATTTATTTATTTATTTGTTTTTCAATAGTTTTGAGTTCATGCACATTTTTAAATTTTTGTTGTCTTTTGCAATGAATGCTGCGTGATAGAGAGAATACACCATAATACCATAGAAGGAAATGAGATTTAGAGTGATAATAATTATTGACCATGAATTGAATCTTGCAAGGGTAAACATTCACTCTTAATGGAGTGTTGTCAGCCAAGTATCATCACCATCATCATTGCAGTTCCTTCCCCTCTTCCCTTGTCTCTACCAAACCTTTTTGAATTCATAATGAAAACTATTGCATGTGACTTTTGAGTGAACTCTTTGCCCTATGATGACATATACTTCCTATAATCCTATTATTACTTGACAGCCGTGGGACAGCGCCCTTAGCGTGTCTTAACGCTATGCTTCACCATCACTCTCGTGGGCCAAATGATCTATTTATTAAAGTCGAAGGACGAATGAGTTGTTACCGACTCAATGTAAGTGCTGATGGCTTTGCAACCAGATTTACTCGAACAATAGTGATTTGCCAAGACAAGCATTTTACTGATATGTAAGCTGAAATTCTTACATTGAATTGGGAATTGAACCCAAGTGGAATCCTGAATTTTCCCGTTTCCTTGGGAAAAATAAACTGGTTTCAATAATATGGAAAAGCAGTTCAAGCTCAAATTATTAAGATTTTCAAGAAACATAGAGTATGAAAAATAACAATTCTAATGTTTATGATTTCAAACCTAGCAGTTGAAAGAGTTTTTGTCTTTTTCCTTTCATGAAACTTTGCTATCTGTTTAATTATACTGGTCCAGTAGTAACAATATGATAAGAGTTAAACTTAAGACTCAACCACATTGTGATTTATCTGTTCAATACTGAAACTGTTTGTTTTTTTCATTAAAGCCAAACAGGGTTGAAACTTCAGGAGAAAATTCTGGTGAGTTGCATTTCACTATGTCTCTTAGTTTAGTTAATCTTTAACTCCCATTAATGACCAAGACAGAATTTCCTCTTACAATATCAATACAATATCAAGGGAACAAGTGGTGAGAATTGAAAAAGCAATTGTCAATTAGGGGATTATTATTTGATCCAGTACCAAATTCTACTTAGTAGCATGATAAGAATTGTATGGTTGTCATTAAGGAGAATTGCCAATGTGATCTTAGGAGTGAAGGGATCAAGAGTGAAGCTTTTATATCCTTAGCAAATGAAAGATTTTTGGTTTCATATTTATTTTATTTGCTATATCACAGCACAAGACTCTGATTCTGACCTTATGGATATGACTGACGATGCAGAATTTAGCATGTTCCTTGATAAGGAGAGTGTGAATGGATCCCATCTCAACAATGGAAAAGTTAAGTTACCTATGGGAACAAATGACATTGTAATGCCACAGCTGAAACCACCGCCGCCCAATCTGTCCCCTAGGGAGACCAAACCAAAGGCAGCACTTACAAAAGATGGACGACTACAAAAAAAACGGGGTCCAAAACCTGGACCTCGCAGTCAGTCATCAAACAAAAGACCAAGGTTGAGTAGTACAAGGCCAGTGCCAAAGATGGTGTTGAAAAATCTCAAAGTAGGTACCATTGAAAGTGGATCAGGAAGTAATGGAAGGAGTGGGAATGGAAAAGTAAGTTTTGTTTGCTATTAATGCTATGCTTGATTTGATAAACGGTAGTTGAAATATAGCCTGGAAGTAAACGAAATGACATTGTAAGATTCTCTCTCTGACTGGAGGTTAATAGTACACACATCAGCTTTGAAAAATGTTTACAGTGGTCAATTTGCATTATTAACTCAGTTAATAAAACTAAATTATGTCATAAGATGAAACATATTGAGTGAATTGTGAATGCCCAATTAGATTCATTGCCACCACTTGAAAAGAAAAGCAGCAGCTTTGAAATTAGAAGACAATCCTGTCATGAGCAGTTGCTGCAATTGGGAATTAATTTCCAATGTAAGCAGGGATGAGTATGTATCACAATAGTTATTATTATTTACTCAGCAGGTGAAGGCTCCATCTGTTCTCATTCCACCCTCATCCAAACTCATACCTCCATCTAGTGCATCTGTTACAGCCAATGCCATCGCAAGCCACAGCTTTCCCAGGGTTCCAAGTTCAGTTGATGGTCTGGAAGCTCAAGAAAAATTGGAGAAATTTTCTGACCTATGGACATCATCCAAGGTTGGTATCCTGTGGTGTTAGCTAGCTTCTACTTGGTACTTGATTGAATTCTCATGGTAGAGTTATGGGTGCTTTGGATACCTTTCAATGTTTTTTCACTTACTCAGCTTGCAATATTTTGGTTATGTCCCTGAGACAAATAAAGTGAAGTTCTTTAGCTGAAATTCAACTGTCGAGCCTTAACTTTTTGACTTATTGCAATATCACCCTGAATGAAACACTAAGGTTATGAGAAAAGAAACTGATCACCATCGGAAGAAGTTCTTGATTGTTACACAAATTCTCCTCATCAGAACAGTATAGAGAATAACTATATAGATGGTAGGGTGTAAAGAGTAAATTAAAAGGTTTTGAAAACTTTACAACAGTGCTAGAAAGTTTTAAGTGTTGGTTGATGCACATGGAAAATAGATTGCATTTTATCCTAGACTGTGAATATTAATTGAACTGTGGTACATTCCTATGGTAGAATTGCTGGTATAAATTTTGTGTTTCTGATTGCACTTATGGATTGAATCCTATTTTAGCCAAGAAGATACAAGAAAATGAGTGTTGGTGAGTGTTATCAGACTAATGCTTGTTAGCAATTATGGTTACATGTTTTGAGTATATTCAGAGAATACAGTAAATAGTTGACTCTAACTCCCAAGACTTACTAAGGGAATTTAACCTTACTTTATCATTACATTTTTAAGCAGAAGGGTGACGAGAGGAAAGAAAAATATTGATTAAAGGATATTGATTGATTCAGCAAGAAATTCTCAAAGCAAAAATGAAGAGAAATGTATGGGAGACAGTGTTGAGTATTGATGTTTTGATCTTGGAAGTGAAAAGTGTTCACGCATTTAGTCATTTTGCTGATCAGTCCCAGCTTTAAGATCCAACATGTTATTACCAAAACATGCAGTAAAGTTCAATGCCAAATTTATGAGCTCTCTGTATGCTGTCAGTTGTTCTCATAACAGACATTTGAATCCAAATTTACCAGTCTCAACTTTGGAATGTGACCTTTGAACCTAAGAAATATTGCACTTATTTCCTGAGTATCTCATAACATTGTTGACTATTGCATGAAAATGCATTTTTTATGATGGTTGAACTCAACAGTGTGCTGTGTATAGAGGTAGTGAACAGATACTGTAACAACCCTTTTATCAGTGTTGTCCACCATACTGAAAGCTCCTTACAAAATTGTGAAAGTCCTGAGCATATGAGCAGGATTCAAGGATTGCAGCATACTTAGTGTATTCTGTTTAATTTTTCAGCTGCACAGTTAAAGAGAACTAAGGAAGGACGCGTAGACATACAGTCTCCAGACTCGATTCTCACTAGTATTCCCCTTCGTGTAAGTAATGTCCTTTGGTCATCATTTTTGTCACAGTCCTGCAAAGGAACATGACTTTTCAATATTTTGTTAACCCTTTCACTTCTCTTAATGACCAAGAAAGAATTTCCCCAACGATGTCCATACAATATCAAGCAGACAAGAGATGAGAATGAAGGAAAATATAGATAAGGGAATTATCACTTGATCTGATACCAAATTCTTTAAACTAACATCATTAGAATTTTATGGCACATTGTAAGGAGAAGATATATTGTGTTGAAAAATTAATTCTACGTTATCTTTTTGCAGTCTCTCATCAACCAACGAACATTTAATATGTTGCCACAATGGTATCAGTACAAGTTAGTGACTCTACTACCAAAAGTTGACCGGGCAATAGGCCATGATGGAGCTTTAAGGTTTGTGCTTGGCATCCGTTGCTGATGCAAAGAAACAATATTGATCAAAACTTTGAGTCATTTTCATGTCTCAGTTAGATAGAGGAGAACCAGACAAGGGAATATTTGGATCTAGGTCATGATAAATGAATGGAGAGCTGGCAGGGGGCAGTGCAACTCTTTCTCTTTCTCTTTTTTACGTCTACCCATCCTTCCCTACACGGGATAATTTAGAATTATCAACTGAGTTGATAATGTAAATTGGCCAATGTAAAGAGTTACAAAGGTTTTGTTTCAAGCATCAGCCCTTAGTCAAAGCAATGACTAAGGGCTGAAGCCCAAAACATCAGCTTTGAAACACTTAACAAAGGCCAATTTACGTTATCAACTCAGTTGATAATTCTAAATTATCCTGTGTAGGGATACTAATAATACTAAAGAATACTACTAATACTAAATTACCCTGCTATACACTCCCACCGATGCAGCACCAAAGTTTATTCAAAAACTTACCCCCTTTATTCATCTGCCCAACACAGGTCAGCTTTTACTATGGTTTATTTTGAAATTGCATGTGCTAGGCCGTACAGGTCTTAAAAGGAATTTCCTTATTTCTAACGAAATGTTTTTATGAGCAGCAGTAGATCAACAAACTGTTCTTTTTTATTTTCAGACCATCACACACTGCATTCACAAATGAGTTCTTTGCAAGTGCATGTCATTCTTGGAAAGACAGGCTTCAGGATGGTAAGAGGCATAACTTTATAGAGAAATTTTCAATTTATTATTTGAAGTAATCTGGGAATTCTGGAAAGCATTTACTCCAATACCATCCAGACTGGTCATAAATTGTTTTGTCTTATTAATTTTAAAGTAGCTAGTGATTCAGGAACAAGTAGCCAACACGGGGAACACTGTTAATACTCCAATCTATCATGTGGGACAGTCAGCAAGATCGCGTTTTTTTACTAACAACTTCTAGTTTATGTTTCATGGATTGATTCCTTCTGCCCCCCAGGTGACTTTATGACTGATATGCAACAGAGGATGAAACAGGAGGAAGAGAGACTGGCAAAATTGGATCCTTGGAAGGTGATGCAGAACGTAGTGTGTGATGATCAATTATTTGTGTGGCGCAAAGGTTTTTTTTATTCTTAATTGTTAACAGTTACCTTTGCTGCAAAGTGGTTGACTTTATAATGTCTTTTCACACCCGTGTGAAATTTTTGCTTTGCAGGCCAAGTTCTTCGAGCCTGTCTGGGGAAAAAGGTATGTTACCTTGCTTTTGATTGTTTTTTTTGTGTTTGTATCGAAAGGCGACCGTCAAAGAGAGGAATGACTGTACCACTCTTTAACTTTCCCTTAAACTTTCCCTTATTTTCCGCACAGGAACATTCCAGACAATTCTTTATCCCAAGACCCTACGGATTCCTACTTCACAGCCCCACTCTCCCCGGCGCCAGCCTCGTCACCAAGAAGCACCATGACTGCAAACCACAAGGATCCCACCCTGGGCAGGTCACAACTCAAATCACCAAGGGTGGCAAGTGGTATGATACAACCGCTGACAGTACCTGTACAAAAACTACCGGCGCATTGTCTTCCTAAACGAGTCACCGAGTCAAGGAGATCCGAAGCCGCTAAACAGCTCCGTGCGAACGCACGTACGTCTCGACCGCGGTCCATACCAATTTACAAAATGGTCACTGTGGCGGTTGCCACAGAAGCTCTTAAAGCTGTAAGAACTTGCGCTCCACCGTCCATGCTTACTGCTAGTACGGTGTACGCGAAAAAACGGACAATAAAGACGCCTTGTAGTGAGGCTTCAACTGACAGCGCGTTGTCTCGAGAAACGTCAGCAGCTTCCATTTCTACTCCGTCGATTCTATCCCACGATGCTGTAGAGCTCCGTGCTCCCGCCTCCCTCATAAAACCGAGACCTCCATCCCGTGCTGCCATGCGTCAACAGGTGGCAGCCAACCGGGAGGATCTAACACGACGAGGCTCTGCTTCGGGCACTGCTACAAGAGGTGGCTTTACGTCGACTACGGTGTCCGCTAAGAACTTTAACAGATCGATGCTGCTTAAGAGTTGTTCTTGCCGTCTGAAAGCGATGGAGGTTTGCAGAAAATGCGGAGCATTCTGCCATGATGACTGTATCAGCGCGGCCCAGCTCTGTAACTCGTGCGTCAGTGTTAACTGACCGACGCCACATGCAATATGTTCATATCATTCTGGTCTTAAAAATTAAATTTCACTTGTCCTTAATAGAGATAATCGCGCTTCCGTTGCCACCAGAAAGTTAACACCTCACGGTTGAGTTTTTGTTCATTATTATTATTTCTCTGTTTGCTTTTACCTTTGCTTTTTGAGATCTTTCCAAATGTTAGACAGATTTCGCTTGATGTGAATGCCTCGTTGGCGTCAAAACCGCGCGATTTTTAGTACTAAATACTTCGCCTCCATGAACAAGACCAGAGGGAAAAGTTTTTACGTCGCTTACCAGTCTATTTTTGATTTTTAATTTCCAACTAATACTTTTCGAATACTAAATATTCGAATATTTTCAAAAAAGTGTAAACTTAAACAAAAAAAAGCCGTCAAAAACTTTCAGGGGTGACTGCGGTAGCGCGGTAATAGCTGTAACATTTAAGGTAGACAAACTTTTAATCATCTTTTTTAAATCTTAAGTCGTATCACGATAACCGTTGAGCCTCAGGCTTTATTGTACAAGACACTCACTAACACAGATTGGTCACTTCAGGAGCTAAATCACAGTATATACATTTTGAAAAATTGTCCCCTAAGCTTTTAAGTTTGTGTTCTGTTCTATAGTCCAGTCTTCTCCTCCAAGATGCAATTTTCCTTTGAATGCCCAAAGGAATCTGGTATAGCGAAGGCTATCACTGCGCTCTGTGACTGATCCAGAAAACTCGCGCCACTTTTCAACCGATCACAATCTCGCTTGGTCACCAGCGTTTTCCGGTGTCTTTTCCAATTTGTTTGACGCTAGAATTCATTGGCACACGAGAAAATTTTACAATTGGTTGCTGTGGTTAGTTTTGTTTTTCGTTTACGACTCTCAATTGAGAAGGGCGCAAACGGTACTTATAAACTAATGCAGGTATAGTGTCAGATTTGGCTAGAAGCGACACAAAATTTCGTGTTCCCTTGACCCTTTGTGACCAAAAGAGAATAACTCCCTACAATACTGATACATTTTCACGATACAAAGCGACGAGAAAATGGAAAAAACATCCAGGGTATATGGTTTGATGAAACTCGAAATTCTCAGAACCAAAATTGTAGTAAAAGTATGGAACATGGTTCAGAGAATTGTAAGTTTGAGAGCGAAAGGGTTTTAGTTCACGATGTTGTGAAAAAACGACCAATCCTATCTGTAAGCTCCATGACATTCTGTTAACTGAAAGTTTCTTTATTTCTGTCGTAAGTAGAGTACAAGAAGAGATAGGACAATTTATGAGAATTATGTTAGAAACATGAGATTATAATATTGTAAATAATGACTTCAAATGACCAGGTCAGTCGGATTTAAAAGAGGAAAAAAAATTATTACATTCAGCTGTCCTGGGCCGTTTTTAATAAATAATTGATGTTTTGACATTTTAATGTTATAATGAGATGACTGCTACCGTTGTCGCGTGGAAAGCAAAGGGAGTCTTGGTGCCTTTTTTCCGAATACCGTGGAAGTTATCGCAGTTATCTTCTGAAACTGACAATGAAATTCAGGGATTCAGTGAGAAAACTCTGACCTATTCAGCCTCCAAACCCAAAGTTGTAACCATAAAAGACCGTAACGTCATGTAGCCTGGGAGTTTCTCCGCCCATGGGAAAATTTAAAAGCAGTTGGGAGGAGGTTAGCAAGGGATCTGGGACTAATTACAATTGCTAGACCCTTTGCTGTCAGCTCCAGACCTCTTGCCGACTAATACAGGGAGGTGGTTAAGATCCACGTTTGTTTCTAAATACGTGCAACCGCAAACGTCTAGGAATCACGTGACCAGACTCCAGCGTTCATGTTTGCCGTTTTCTGTCCGCGTCGGGCAAGGCAATTTCAGGTACTTGAACTCCCTCAACGCTTTTTGTCTTCCTGTTCGAAAGTTCTCACGTATGTCCTATAAATATATGTGAGGTGAAGTCTTTTCTTTATAGCCAATCCGTTTGGGGTGCAAGGAAACCAATCTTTTAGCTACATTTTGTGCTTAAAATGAAAGACCCTTATCCTTCGTGTAATTCAAGATGGCGGCGCACATGTTGATTTTTTTTTTTTTTTTTTCGGTGAAAGCCGACATCGATCTATAAAGCTGAAAGTCTCGAAACTTCAAACCACAAACTGCTGGCCGCGGTTTGACATTTGCGGTGAACACATCTAAAACTCTCTAATGATGAGGGCTTGCTCGCAGGCTACAAGACAGGCTCATGAAGATAGATATAGGTCACAGCATGTCCTGCTCACTTTACTCATCGCCAATCACAAAAGAGATGATAAGTAGCTTAGCCAATCAGATTGCAGTATTGTGAAAAACACTAACATACTTTTCTTAATATGCGCGAAGAATATAACGACATAATACTTCAATACCGCTCAGAGCCATAACAGACGTTAACACATTATTGTAATGGTGTAGTTTGATCGTCCGGATGAGTGTAGTCCTGAGAAGGACTGTTGTCGGTAGTGGTGACTGACGTTTCGACAACCTGAGCGGAAGTCATCATCAGAGTCATGTGAATAGTTGTTGTCAGTCGAATGTTCTTAGTCTGGTTTTTATAAACTGATTGGTCAGTTTTGCCATGAAGTTATTGGCTGCAAGACTCAAGTGGCGTTCTCGATCCGTTAGTGAAGTTAGGTCGTTCTGCTCGGTTCGTTTGCAATGTTAATGTCGTGAATGAGTCGTTTGTATGGTGCCGGTGGTGGTTGACACCTGTTGAGAGGAGTCTGTTCCAAGTTAGTAAACCAATGGCGCTCGTCGTGTTAGAGTCCTGGTAGTTGTGGCTTTGTGTGATGTCGGGTTGTAGGATGACTCGTCCAGCAATCTGTCGGTATGTGTCGGTTTCCTGTAAACTGCTGTCCGTAGTGAGTTGTCGTCATGGCCTACCAGGCAGTCTAGAAAAGGTAGTTTTACCATTTTCTTCGACCTCTCTAGTAAACTGTAAGTCAGTGTTTTGTCTGTTGAGGTGGTGGTGCATCGATTTCGTCGTGTCGTACGGCGGTGAAAGTATTGTCAACGTAGTGTAACCAAAGTGGTATCGTTTGTCAGAGTCGAACGGGCGCTTTCCTCGATGTTCTGCATCACAATTTCTGCTACAACAACAGAAACTGGAGACCCCATAGCTGTACCGTGTAACTTTTTGTACTTTTTACCGTTGTGCCGAAAGTAAGTTGACGTAAGGCAAAGGTTTAATAGGTCCATAATGTCTTCTGTAGGTAGCGGTGGAGGGTCGATGGATTGTAGGATATCAGTTATTTTCACATCAAATGACACTAGTTCGTAGACGTCAGGTATCTATACAGTCTTAGTGGCGTTAATGAAGTCCTCGGTGGATTATAGTTTACGTTTGGATTTGTCGGTGAGCAGTTGTAGTATTGTTGTCAGGTACTTGAACAAGTACCTGTCGACAATACTATAACCGCTCACCGAGCAGCCATGTAGATTAACTTTCGTAAAAACAAAACCAAAGTAATCACAACAGAAAGGAGCGGCTTTAGAACTCAAAATAAAATGAGGCGCGAGAAAACGCGAGTTACCAAGTCACGATTGGTGTAAGATTTGAATCTGACTGGTTGAGAAAGTAAGTGCAAATTTCCTGGACCAAGCCTTCCCTTTAGGGACTCTGCACTGCTTTGGTGCCTCGTTTATTGACTGAAAGCTTGGTACAGGCTCGAACAATTTTCTATCGAGTGTTTAAGGTAATTCACGAGCGCTTTGGTTTTTCTGAGCCGTCTGACCCCTCCAGAAAATTTTTCACTTTTTCAATTGGTAGGATTTGAACGAAAACTAGTACAAGCAAAATTTTCCTAGAGCCTCTGCAATCATTTTTAATCCATCGACTATTTTATTGTTTTATATTGAGTGAAAATTTGTAAAAATATCCTCATGATACTATTTACATACAACTGCACTTAAAAAATAATATCTTTGAATCGATGCCGCAATAAGAATAGACTATTTGATATCCAATAATATCAAAAGTAACATGATGTCACAATTAAAAAGTGAAATATTCTATCACTATGCTTTCGTCGGGTAAAAATTGGAAACATCATGGCTAATTCATAAAAGACACATGTAACCTAGGAGGTACGTGGAAATAATCGCTAAGGGTAAATTTAGGAGGGTAAAGGAATTTTACAGTTCGTTCGGGCCACTCTCCAGTTTGAGTTTCCTTTGCAGGGTAATAGGAAGTGGTAACCTGTCAAAGCCACGTATTCCTGAGTATTTCCTTATTCTTTCCCTTATAACAGAAAGACACTCCGGTTCAAGACTTAACATTCTCGTACATTTGGCAGCCAACAAGAATTCCTGGATCGCGCTTGATTTACACCTGTCAATCGCAGTCAGGCCACAATAATCCGATTGGTTAATTTTCGCTCCAAAGGACACCATCGCCTTGACAGCGTGTTCAAATTGACCTATCACAGCCAAGTGCAGAGGTGTGTACCCACAGTAACTTTCTCTAGCATTCAAATCTGCTCCGCAGAGAAATAGTGCCTTTGCACTGGCTTCGTTGCCGTTCTGCACTGCAAAGTGTAAAGGTGTGTATCCCGCGAAATTTCGCGCGTGAGCATTTGCGTTAAAGCGAACCAGTAGCTCTATGAGAGCATAATTGTTGTGCATTGCAGCAAAATGAAGAGGAGTTTCACCAAAGAAAACGCCGCTACTGTAATTCACATTAGCTCCAAACTCGCATAGAAGTTCAACAATGTCCAACATGTTTTCTGCTCTTGAAGTTGTCAATGCCAAGAGAAGAGGACTGTAATCTAACGAGTCGACACCATTAACGTTCGCGCCTCGTAACAGCAGACTGCGCACGAGTTTTAGTGGCGCGCCGGAGCGCAGCGCAGTCCTGAGTTGACTGTCTAATAACTCCCGGCTAGTAGAGTGTACTGAATCGTACTTGAATCTTTTAAAAATACTTCGCAACCCTGGAAGATATAAGAAAAGTACGCAAGTTTACAATATTAAGTGAATGCCAATTAAATCATTTTCCTGTTACTGTTATAGCCATGTCTCATTAAAAGACTTTTCCATCTCATCTACGACCTTTCCGTCCTCAGGAAGTTGTATTCTCGTATTTTAGACTTATGGCGATATTTACATAAACGATAAAACTACTCGCAAAATATTTGCCTTGCTCCTTTGTACACTTCACCCTAGTTCTTGGCATCGTCAATTTGTTCTTGATCACTGCAACTTGAGGAATCCTTCACAATGGCCTGGTTCGATGCACCTGCTCACTTCTTTGCTGCCAAAAGAGATGAAGATATTCCTTCACGTTTGTGATAACCTGTAAGACGCTGATTCATCTACAGATTAGATGATAATTATCCATAACCGATGCAGTCAACATTTTGGAAAGTTTTTCCAAAATTACGACGGTTTATCACGTCATAAGCTCGTGCAACTCAGGAGTCAAGTCAAAGATACGCGCGCGTCAAATTGCGCATGTCATACCCCCTCCAGACCCTCCCCATCGATCTGCCATTATAATTATAAGGGTAGGGAGGATAGGGGCGATTCCCGTGACTCTCTCTATAACAGTCTTCCCGAACAGCGACTGGTTATCGAGCCTAAAATAAGGGTCGACTTGAAAACGAAAATCTTAATAATTAGACCAGGACTGAGACCATGAAAATGCTAAACAGCATAATTTAGCTGTCATGAAAGCAAATTCACACATCCGACTCTACAGTAAATAATTTTAACATTATGTGCTCCACTGATAGAAGGCGTTATAATTTGGTCTTTTCTTTGTTCGAAGCCCAATGACAAGAAGAAAAAACATGAACATGGAACCCGGAAAAACCAGGACTTTTGTTCACTAATCGAGTGAAATTCCAGTGAAGGCAACTTAGATAACGTAATGGGTGCAATGAATAAAGAAATGCCGATTCTCAAATATCAACAACCGACAACTTTTAGACGGAATTTAGAAACTCATTACGTTTTGTGTTTTTAACGAAAACCTCGAAGTTAGCACTATTGCTTTTGCGCACTTTTGTGTGTTCAAAATTAACAATTTATTCAAATTTCCTGAGGAACATGGAGTTGAAGCCCTGTACAGAATATGAATGGATTAAGGGGAAAAGATGTGACAAAATAACTCTCCAGATCATAAAGTGTCGTGATAAAGGTTAATTTTTTTGTCTGTTCTCTCTAGTTGTCATTGGTTCAAAATGTTGGTGCCACTGAATAATTTACCACCTGGCAAATATCAACAAAGAAAATGTACACCTAAAAAGGTAAATCGCTCAAAGCGGAAGACAACGACGTTGTTTTTTCCATATTTTCCTTTGTTTTTGTAATTCATACAGCCGTTTTGACCAGGACCCAGTTAGTATATGTCTGTTCGTTGCGAAAGGGAGCATAATGCAATACATACTGTTCGTGAATTAAAATGCGCAAAAAGTTTTCGTTTGACTTTCCTTTAATGTGCGTCAGTTCAGCAAGTGCCAAATTAAAATTATTCCGTTCTATAATCTAGCAAAGCCTTCGAGAAATATACAGGCAACACAACATTTCTACATCTTCGAGCGAATGGCTCATTGGAGACAATAAACACAAACTTTACCGCGAACTTGAAAATCGCTCGTAGGTAAGAACAGTAGTGAACAAACCTAAATCAATCAGCTAGATTAGAGAAGTAAGCTCTTACTTTTTAAAACTTGTCCCGGATGAAGCCTTTGTCCTTTCAACATTCGCCACGCGTTCTTCACAAAATTTTATGGATTCTGTTTTCTGTTTTTTCAACGCAAACCGTCTTTGTTGTGACTTTCTTTGTTTCTGGTTTTTACAAGCGTAGTACTGGGTGCGAACCAATCTACCAGCGGTTCTTTCCTTGAAAATTTTCAACATGGCTGCAGTGCTGGCGGTGAATGGTTGTGCAGAAGTAGAAAATTTGCTACAATTTTGCAATATTTCGAAAGAAAGGATTCGTGTGGAGGAGCAAAAAGAGTTCACCTCACCTAAGGTAGGGAATTATTGAGTTATTGTCTAAGGAAAAATTAATTTTGTTAGGTAGGCAGTATTTTCTTTATTAATATTAAAATTTCATGGCGCGTGATTGAAACTCGGGGCGATTTAGCCAGCTGTGGAGTTATTGTTTCTCATCCACTAAGCTTTGTGTTACTTCTTTGACTTACAAATATAATAACGAGTAACAAAGATTACAAAACAAGTGGAGGGTGAGGGAGGGGGTGTGCTGCGACTGAATTGGGCTTGGATTTGAATTAGCTATACCAGCAGTTATATATTTTTTTCGAAAATCAGGTATATCCAATAGATCTGTCCCATGCGGATGATGAAGGTCAATTCCACTCAATATAACGAGTGGTAATGGGTCTTTCCGTTGTTACAGTCCAATTCAGTCTGTAGTCATATGGGTTATTAACGATATCAGACTAACACAAGGCAGGAGTCTGATTTGATAATTAAAAGTATGATTAGAGACAAAATTGTACAACAAAAAATTCTTTTACCAATCAATCAAAACTATGAAAAAATCTGAGAGATAAACTAGCCATCGGTTACAGTGTAAACATTTTCATGAAAACAACAGGTAACTGGGCAAAATGTTAAAAACACTGTCCAATTACAAGCACGATTTGCACACTGTCTCTTTAATGCTCAAATCAGTCTGGTGAACCAATCACATTCAATAATTTTGTTATAGTTTTGAGTAATTGTCTTATCTCTAATTTGAACATGATTCTTTTCAGATAGCCATATATCCATATTCATTTTGCACTATTTTTTTAAAATTTCCATTGTTAATTACTTCACTTTGGTGTGATTTTCTAGGAGCCAACTTTGACCTTTAGTTCAGGCGAGACAGTAACTGGTATGCGAACAGTAGGGGCATATCTCTTCAGAATATCACCTCGAAAACTTCTTGGAGGGTCAGCTCTGGAGAGAGCTCTAGTAGATCAGTGGATGGAATACTGTCAGTCACATTTGGAATCTTCTCTGCAGGATGGAACTCTTATCAAAGGGGAATTAAGAGTAAGAGTCTTCCTTTCTAAGTGACACACATTGTTGTTTTCAAATTGGATTTTTAACCCTTTAACTCCCAGATATGAAAATATATCCATACTTTATCGAGTGAAAAGGTAATAAGATTGATCAAACTAATCAGGTAGAAGTTTTTATCTTGATCTAACATCATATTCCTGTAACTAATCTATATGGAAATGTGTAGCAGCCAGAGGGGAGAATTAACAATCAGATCTTGGGAGTTACAAGCTTAAAGTTTCCTCAATAGTTGACAAATTTCAAGGGTTCTCAAAAAGATTGGAAGGGGGCAAAAGAAGAAAAATTCAAAGTGTAATGTGAGTAGAACTTAAATTAAGCTGTTAGAAATCACAAAGCAGTTATAGATCAATGGCTAGGTGCCCTCACAAACTGAGAACTTCTGTTTAGTAGTGATCTTTCAATCAAGAATTATTAACCTGTGTGATATTTTTCATTTTTTTTCATCACTCATCATCTTAATATTGTAAGGCAAAATTTTGTCTTTGTCTCTCATGGAGTAAAAGGATTGAACAAAACCTGAAGGCCAATCAGGGCAAAAGAGAATTTGTTAGGAGTCAGTAAGAATTGGATAATACCAGTCCTTCAAATTTTTACCTTAAATTAACCAGTTACTTAATATTTATCTTCTTTCAAAACTTTCCATTTTTCCCTTCACTTTTCCAATTAATTTATTTCATTATTTTATTATTTTTGTCTTTCGATTGGTAGCATAAAGCCGCTTTTGATTGTGTTGTGACTGTTAACCCTTTAACTCTCAAGATCTCATTAGTAATTTTCCTTACTGTCTGCCAAATGATTCTCACTATGTTAGTTTGGAGAATTTGGTATTGGATCAATTAGCAATCCCAATTTTTTTTTTAATTCATTACTTGTCTGTGTGATATTGCATAGATATTAAATAGAAAGGAGAAATTCTGTCTTGGTCACTCACGAGGGTTAAAGAGTTAAGGATGTAGTAATCAAGATCCAACTGCTTATGTCTTAGTTGACCATTTTTCCACAGTATTTGGATAAATCTCTGTCTAGAACAGTATATCTGGTGGGCTGTCAGTTAACACTAGCTGATATCATGTTGTATTATGCACTTCATCCTCTAATGCTGGAGCTTAGCGTCCAAGAAAAGGAACAATTTATTAACCTTTCAAGATGGTTTAATCAGGTAAATATTGCTTGTAGTTCACTGAATTATCTTATTCCTTGGTCAAGTTCTTACTAATTTTTCTTTCTTTCAAACGTAATTTTCTATGCCCAATATAAATGAAATAAAGAATTCAAAACTGAGTACGATTTAACCTCAACACATGCAACACACTGATCCCCCCTCCCATTTTCAGGGTATTCATGACTTGTCTGTCCAGCATTAATCAAGTGTTACAAACACATGCGTGTGTATCTCCCTTCCATTAATATTAATGCAAAATTAAACACCTACTTGATCATGACATGAATTTGTCTGTAAACAGAGGTAAAATTTTTCTTTGTCTTGTTCTGGTGTTATTAAGTCTTATCAATTAGTTATATCAGTCCTTCACTTTATCATCATATATCTTTTTTTCATGATTAACACAGGTGCAGTATTACCCTGGAGTCCGACAATATTTGCCTGAAGTATCATTTCTACGCAACATGCTCTACAGTTGACATTGTGGTACATCATTTGATTATATGAACTAATATAATATTTTACTGCTAAGACGTATGACCTAACTCCCAAATGTGTTGCCAATTATGAATAAATAAATTTATTACTTATTCTGTCTTTGAATGCAATGCTATTTTGTTTATTACAGTAGAACTGTAGAATGAGAAAAAAAAAATGAGTCAAACCCATCAACATTATTTTTTTTGTTTACTTTTATTGGCATAGTTCTTTGTGTAGTGTTTTTTTTGTCATAAGTTATAAAGAACAAGTTTTGATACTACCACTCTTGCAGGCTGAATAAAATATGTATTTACTTCCAGACTGGAAAACAATCTCAAAATTGCAGGTGCAGTGTTAAATGCAGACAGTGATAAATTATTTGTTTTCTATGTTAACTTGATGAATATATTGTTCTATTTGCTACTTTTTTTTTAATAACTTCTGTTAGAGCTAAAATGCCATGCCCATTCCTATCTCTACAAAATTGTACGTTAAAAATAATATGCTACCTAATTAGCTCAACAATATTTGTTTTTTTTTTAAATTTCCCCTCTGGAATCCTCTTTAATTTGAGTCTCTTTATAAGAGTACAAACATTTTTTAAGGATATATATGTTGTACATAAAACAATCCTTGTACATCACTTGTATGCTTTTAACACCACAATATACAAAATATTTCTCAAAACTACCTGGGCAGAAGTAGGTGCCTTTTAGATACTTGCTGTACACACTTGCAATAAATTAAGCCTTTTCCTTAAAAAATAAAATAAACTGGAATTCTTTTGTTGGTCCTGTGTATGTTATAGCTCAATATGGCTGATGGGAAATTCAGAGAAATAAACTACGTAGATTTAATGTATATAAACAATGCATAAACCAGCCAAATAAGACAATTATAGTAGTATAACTTTCTCCCCCTCCTGCTCTAAATTACTCACTCATAATGGCTCACACTTAACCCTTAAACTCCCAAGATCTGATTGTCAATTCTCTCCTCCAACTGCAACATGTTTTCTTGTAAATTGGTTATGAAAATTTAGTGTTAGATCAAAATAACAACTTCTACATGATATGTTAGAGTATTCTCTTGACCTAATTGCTGGATAATACATGGAAATTACCAGGAGAAGTTACATGCATGATAAATTAGATGCTAGACACTTACAGGGGTAAAAAGATTAAAGACATTGGCATCACACAGAATATAAACTTGTGCACTATATGCACTAAGAAACTCACAATGCTCATTCAAGCACTTAAATATGTAATTTCCCTTTACACTTGTTCATTAAATCCTTTGTGACAGACTATTTACAGTTATACCTTAAATACTCTCAGGCCCCACATGGGGAGTTACTTGTATACCAAAACTAAAACCTTTTGTTCCATGAAAAAAAACAATTTTGTCAAACTATAACTTCAGGTCAAGTAAGCTAAAAACAGGGTTATATTTTGGATTGATTTTTGCCCATTCCTTTCTTTTGATATTGCTTCTAATGGGTCCATCTTCAGAATCTTCAGACAAAGGAGTAGCACTGTCATTTTGTGTTACTTCCTCAGGCTCAGCTTTAGCTGGCTGTGGTGTGGGGCCAGAGTTCCCCTGGCCAGGGTTCAAATAACCAGGGTTCAAATAACCAGGGCTCCAATAGTCAGGGTACACATTTTGCACTTGTATTGGCGCTACAGCTATTGGCTGGACATTGATCGGCACTACTCTTGTTCGCCTTACTGTTCTGTCACCAGACTCAATTGCTGCAATCAGCCGACAGGTTCCTCCCAATATCAACATCTTAAAAAGATTTCAATGGATATAAAACAGTTAACCCTTTTACGCTGTAAAATCAGTATACATCTTCTCCATACTGTTGTCTATACATTTCCCAAGGTGGTGATAAGGAGAAATTGTTTAACAATCAAGAGCCTCTTTGGTTACTGATCTTTTTTGTTATTCTCACGATCTCAATGAATGATGCAGCAGTATTATTGTAAGAAGAAATGAGGTGAATGTTCAACTTTTCAGGTTTAAAAGGTTATCTACTCTAAATATTTAAAAATCTGATGTTTTCTGCACTTATCAACCTACAGAAAATTTCAACATTCCTCTTGCATAACAAATAACTTGGCTTGTTTTCTAAACTTTGTGGCTTTCTTTATTTTATACTTTAATATTTTGGAAATATTTCGCTTAAGTACCTGCAGAACAGCAACAATAACTGAACATGTTGCTAAGATAACATGGTTCCTCTTAATCCAATCCATGAGATTTGTGTAGCAGTCCTGGAGAGATTGCACAAAAATGAATAGGTTTTTTGCCATATTTTCTGATAATTATTACCTTACAAAAGCAGTTGGGGATTAAAAAAACTGAATCCTAACATTAATCATTTATCTTTTTGAAATCAAAGAATGAAGTTCGACCTCTCAATGTTGTTAAGGCAGCATAATACAATACATATATTCCAACTATTAGAAACACAAAGAAGGAAGGTTTTAGTGTAGCACAGCCATGACCACAAGTGCCAAAGGCCTTAGCATTTGGGTAGGAGAGGATCTGAATTAATCCCCATCCAAAATCTTAGAACCAAGGCCTCCATCTAAGATGCCATTTCCTATATTTTGAGATCACAAATATGAATCCCTGAAATTGAAGTAAAGGTAATAAAAGTCCAAGATACCCCCTGGAAAATGATAAAGAATGGTTCTGAAAAGACCAGTGAAGCAGCAAGAATATTTATCTAAGCTTTCTTTTTTAGGAGAAGCTATAATGGGAGGGTTGGATAACTGACATTAAGAAGAAGCAACAGAATGTTCAGTTTACCTTCAATCTTTTGTTTCCTGGATTATCATCAACAAAACAGGATTTGTCGGAACTTGACTTATGGTTGAGGTTTATTGGTGATAGACCGCAGCATTCAAACTTGAATTTGAAAAAGTAAATAAAATGAGTAAATAAAAAGAATATAACTAGTTTATTAACCCTCTAAACACCACAACAGACAGAGGCTTGTTTTGGGACCAGACAGTTAAGTAAATGTGTATATCCTACATAGATAACTCACTAGACCATTACATAAAAGATCTTTGACGAATACAATAAACCAACAGTCCAGTAATCAAGAATAAATTACAAACATGAATGAGATTAAGATACAATCAAACTGTGAATGATGTGGGTGGGAGGGAACTAAAACTTTCTTATTGCTAGAAATAAACTTGTTGCTTGCTTGTTTGCTCACTAGATTACTAATAAGACGTGCACAGATATCTAAGCAGTAATATACTAATTAGTATGGTGAATAGCCATTGGCTTTACCCAAGTCTTATGACTTGTATGCTGAACAAATTGCTCAATCTTAAGGAAAGGGAAAATACTAATATGCACCCTGCCTATACCCAGTCCAGGCCTCTCAGCTATCGATGTCTAGATTCATATTAATAGAGATTGATATTCACTTACACCCTAACATCAGTATGCATATTCTCTATACTGTGCACAACACATTTCTTGCTGTACTGACAAAGAGTGTTTGTTTAACAGTGAAGAGCTTCTTAGTTGGTGATCATTTCCTTTTAATTATTCTTTGCATCCTTAATTTTTGCTTCAGGACTGATATTGTAAAGAGAAATTGGAGGGCTCAGAGCAAGAACGATCCCTTGATTTTTCGGCCATTTTTGAAAGTGTTCAGAAATAGTTGAATTTTGGCATGTGGACACTTTCAAAAATGACCGAAAAATCAAGGGATCGTTCTTGCTCTGAGCCCTCCAATTAGATGCTAGTTACTCTTGGTAGTCAAAGGGTTTAGCTTTATGTGCTCAAAGAATACATAATAGCTTCATGTTTAGTTACTTGGAATGAGTGCTATGTTAGACTTAAATAATTTATTACCAGTCGATGGTGTCTTTATTTTAGATTTGATTCTGAATAATGGTCAATTGAACAGCATATTCACCTTTTCTTGAATGAGGATTCTAACTTCATCAGTAGTTTCGTCCCAGTTTGTGGCAATATGATCTTGTATCTAAAATATATCATGAATAAAACAAAATTCAAATTGTAATCTTTTACACCCTAATATCAGTAAGCATATTCTCCATAATGTTCCCTGAAGTACTGACAGGGAGACTTAAGCTAACAGGCAAAAGCCTGTTTGCTTTACTTTCGTTTCGTCAATTCTCTTAACCTTAATGTTTGACTCAGCAATGATACTGAAAGGGGAAATTGGATGCTAATCACTTTTAGGGGTTAAAGGGTTATCAATGCTAGATTATCTTCCCCTATCAGTAAAAACTGTGTGATTAAAATCTGTAATTGATGTACACTATTTACATGGGTCCTTGATCTCTGTTTATTGATCACCAAATAATGACTCCATAATGTAGATGGGTGAATGCAATTTTGAGTCATTGTGATGTAAGTTAACCCTGTACACCCTAACATCAGCATGCATATTCTCCATACTGTTCTCCATACATTTTCAAAGAGGCTAACAAGGAGAATTTGTTTCACAATCAAGACCTCCTTTAGTTGGTGATCATCTCAACTATTCTCATGACTTTCATGTTTGATTCAGGGGTGATATTGTAAAGAGAAATTAGATGTTAGTCACTCTAAGGGGCTAAAGGGTTAATAGAACTTTTGACATTTTAAATTTAGAATTATCATAACATTTACGGTATTAAATTTCACGTACCTGGTCTTTTTCTACGTAGAGATAAATAGCTACACCAAGTTCAGCCAAGAGTAAAATTAACATAAATGCAAAGTACTAAAAAATAAGGGAAAAGAAATGAAATGTAAGGAAATAACTTTAGCTCAGCAGTTGTTGTGTTTTGTTGGACAGCAAATTGCATGTTGGGAAGTGCTAAGATTATATTCCTTTGTTGAATTCAACCTAGAAGGTAATTTTACAACAATACCATGTCAGGCTGGAAATTATTTTTTGGGAGATGTAATTGATAGCATGTTGAGTATTTATGAGGGGAACTTGAGTGTTTTAACTCTTGGGTATATATATTGAATTTGATATTTACCGCTCTTAGTAGGTTGTCTTTCATTAGGATAATTCCACATGATCCGATAAATCCTGGTATCAACAAAAGAGAGTACATGCTGATAATGTGAAATTAAAAGTAGGGTTTTACTCTACCAAACTAAATGAAGACACCTTCACACAGATGAGCACCAAAAATGAAAATGGGGTCATTTGCTGGGCAATCTTTAAGTAAATTCAGTTCTTCAGAGTGTGCTGAATTTCTTAATAAATAACTTCAGTAAATCCCACCTTTCCTTTGGTAGGTAAAAAGGACATTTGTAATCAGGGAAATTTTATGTCATGGGATGGTTGGGGACAATGGTTTGATAGGGAAGAGTTCATTTCCCATCTCTTATAAGGAGAGAGGGGGAAGAGCATGTTACATTTCTTTTGGTCAATGCACTGACGATAGAACACTTGTAGGCGTTTAGGTCACGGTCACACCAAGAATTTAACAGCAGTCTACCTTCAATTGAAGAAAAACTTGAATGAGGTTTGGCTTCATTTTGAGGTTTAATAAACAATTTTGTCCAACAGCCTTGCACATAAAAATTTGCAAGATCTCCCCCTAAAGGCTTTAATTTTGCATGCAGTAAGAAGGAGTACATACCAGTGATAAATACAAACGATGACAGCACAATATAGCCGATAGTTACGTTCTGTAAAGAGGGAAAAAAAGGATCAGCGTTATAATTTTAAAATAACTATGTATTTTGGTTATTTCTTTTCTTATTTTTTAAATCTGCGTTATGAGGAGAAAGCCTTTTTTTCTCAGTGTTGTTAACCAATGTGTTCTCGAATTCTATGTATTGATTAATGTATTCAAGGAAGACAACATATCCAGCCCTCCCATACCGGAAATTGTACCATTGAGGACTGAACCCTCAAAATGATGTAAAAATCTTTTCTACAGCCCCCCTTAGGTTTAACACACCAGTAAGGGAGGGTTATACCTCAAGTCCATTGAAAAGGGGATCACTGGCCAAATCATTAATCACAGAGGGTCTCTATGTCAAAAATGTGATAAATGTCATGTAAATTCTTTTTTGTTCATTTTTTAAGCTTCATTTGAGTCTACGAGGACTTATGTTAACTCATTTCCCCTTCCCCATTAATTGCACGTTTCCCGATCAGGCTCACAGGGGTTCTGATCACTATCAGAGTCCGAGGTACCAGAATCTGTAACACCTGAAACATCCCTCTCCTGGGCTTCACCTACTTAGTAATGTGAAAAAGTGCACCTTTACTTGCATTTTCTTTATCTCATTTAGCTGCCAAAGGAAAACAAACGAAAAACACACCTGATTTCCAGCCAGGTGTTTATACTCCGTGTCTTGTGTTGTTACCCATATCCCAAGGCCAAGCATCACAGAGCCTCCAAGCTGTAGAGAGAGTAAGACTTCAATTGAATGGCTTCTCTTGATTATTGTCATGAAAATGCGTATAGGGAGCCGGCCACAAAGGTGTCACAAAATAGTACGCCTAAAAAAGGTGTGGGATTTGGTGACGGATAATGGCTCTGCCCTCATCGGGGTGTATTCCACTCCTGACACTATGTTGAACCAAAACTGAATTTAACCCTTTACACCCCAGCATCAGAATTCGTATTCTCTAAACTATTATCTACAAATTTCCTTCGGTACTGACAAGGAGAATCGGTTTAATAATCAAAGCTTCAAAGGATGGCGATCAGTTCCTTAATTCTCGTAATCTTAGATGCTGGTACGTCACTTATAGGGTTTAAAGGGTTCACGGGAACAACCAAGAGGCGTTTCATGGTAGCCCAAAGAATATATTTTTGTATCCGCCGACTTTTTCCAAATTAAAATGTGAAATATTTCGTCATTGGTCAGAGGTTCACATAACAACTGTACAAAACATAGGCATAGGTAAGCGACGTAACGATTTGTGTTGCTAAGAACTCTCGGTCTGAAGGCCTGTTTTTGATAATCATTTTTTGTCGGGTATCCGCTTATTGACTTTACATCTCGATCGTCTACAACCACAACAGAACTTCAATGCCACATTGTTTACACTGATAGTATAAGTGTAAGATTTCGTATGAAGAAAACAGTTGTAGAAGGAACTGAACAGAGAAAAACTCAAAAACTCGTTAAATTGTTTCTTTTTTTATGTATCACAGTGTCAAAGCTTTTAATTGCTCTTCTTTTCAAAAGCTACACCAAAGACCAAGAGATAAACGACAAAAGCGAGGCGACCATTTTTTTTCGTTTTTTTTGTAAGTGTTATCTTTTTCATTTCCTAAGACACCAGTTATTTGTAGATCCAGCGTGAGGTACGTGCGCTACAACTATCTTTCAAATACTCCAATATGACATTTCTTTTAGTGAAATCCAAAGCGTTATAACCCCCTTAATTACTCCAGCTTAAAGCATGAATGTGAATTCCAAATGAAAAAGGAAACCTCTGCTGTGGACTTAATTAAACTAACGACAATCTGTCGTCTTTAAACCTTTGCACAAAAAGGACCCCGAAAACAGTTTACTATACATGTCACTCTGATTGTTTTCCTATGTAAATAGCTGATGACTGCTCCAATTCTAAATATGAAGTTTTAGACGGCTTTAGCAATTTATTAATCTCGTCCACTTTTGTTTTTAATACACTAGAGGAAATGACGGAGCCTCGATTGCGATTCAAAAAGATTTTTCATTGTATACCTTATAAACCAGGTTTAGCAATAGTTTGGTGATGGAAATTAAAAAAGAGATTCAAAATGGATTGATTTTTAAAACTGAATGGAAAAAATTATAAAGATGACGAGGTCAAACTTCCCGAATTTGTTTTGCTAGTCTAAAGCATGTTTGGTTTTAGAAATTAAAGTGTTTTTAGGAGACTTGGCGGAGTGTTCCAAAATTCTCCTCCGACGAAAGAATACCTAAAATCATGTATTGTCTGTGTAAAGAGAATCAAAGATGATCAGATTCAAACTTGAAATCAAAATTTATTGACCCAGTTTATCTAGCAAAACTGAATCAAGTACAATGAACCGAATCTATTCCTTGCTTGAGTCAAGGTTCATGAGTGCAAGCGAAGCTGATGAACACCGTCACGTCTGTGAAAGCATATGATAAATTATATTTTGCCAGTTTCGACGAAGCAAGTAGGAAATCTTGCATAAAATTGAAAACTGTCCGGAAACCATCACGAATCTTCAGGAAAAATTATTTGACAACGCAATCAGTAGATTTTACAATCCCATCGACGATACGGCAAAAATCAGGAATTTTCTTGCGTCGAAACCCCAAAATCCAACTGAGAATTGTTCATTTACAACACACTGGGTATATAATATCGACATTCATATTAAGTCCGTGAATTTTCCTTGTAAGCCCACTTCAAAATGGTTTCTAATAGACGCGTGGGTTTCATCTTTCATGATCAGTTTATCACAAACAATCACGCGATGTAAAATCGCTTTCTCTAAACGAAATTCTTTCATCGACTTTGAGCATAGATAGTACTTGATACTGACAGAGTAAAGATCTCTGAAAGTCTTTTAACACTAGTGTGAGATAAGTTTAAGCGATAGAAGGGTTTTTGGAAAACGATGCGGGATTGAAATGGTGTTTAGTTATGCTTCATTGGCCAGTGAGAGTAGCTGTGCGCACTTGGCTATTATGAACTATACAATACTGTCTGCGCGAAATTGAAGGTTTACCTGTGTGAATTTTTTGTGTCACTGGTAGACACAAAAAGATCTGCTGCTTTTACAAAAACTTACCCAAACCAGGCAGTTCATGGTGAAGACACTCCAGCGGACACAGACTGAAAAATTATTCATGTGAACCATAATTTCCTAATGTCTCTAAGGTCGCACTTCTATCTCAAATCAACGAGACCTAGTCTAGAAAGGTGTCTATGTCTGATCATCCGTAAAAATAATGATATTTCTCAAAATTGTAATGCGGTAACAATGGCGATATCATTACTGAATTCCCAGTATTTCTGCCATAAAATCTCAGCTAATAGCGTGTTGTCAGACATGACAGAGGTAACGCTTGGACGATTTTTTCTTTTGTAATTCAAACCAGGTCAAGGGCAATACGTGTCACTCATGCAAAAAAGCCCCGGAATGGATTTTGAAATACCCCATACTATTTGAATTGTGATATGTCAGCCGGAACTCTTTCAAGAGCTGAAACAAACATTCCTTGTTGCATGACAAAATGCAATTAAGTTTCTGTTTAGAGAGTACTTTTCCATGGCTTTGTTCCCCGTCTGTCTTCCTCTCAGAAAACCCTCACTGAAACATTCAAATGTTAAGCTCATAATTCAAATGAGAATCCTCACTGTAACGTTAAAGTATTACGCTCACTGTAGCCTTTGTCGAGGAAACGGAGTAGAGACTGAAATGAGGCTTTAAAAATTCAGTTTTATGGTTGTATTTGTTTGATTGTGTCACGATCAAACAAATATGATTTTGGCAGATTGCTTTGGCAATTAAATTTGAACAGCTTAACTGGCATGTTCTGTAAATCGTACTTGCCTACCGGGTACACATTAAATCAACAAGTAACTGTGAGATCAAGTAATGAAACTACGTTGGCGTTCTCTTTTAAGAGTATTACAGCGTTGTCGCGAAACGAAGAAGTTTGAAACAATTTGCATAAAGGTAGTAGTGATTTCGTTAATTTTCCAGCACTTACCAAAACAACTGTTGTAAATGTACACAAAGTATATTTCAAACACACGGCCATTTCATATTTCCAGAATCCTTTACACCTGTGCTTTTTCGCTCGCAGAAAGTGATGCTTGGATCATATGGTCACTGAAGCGGAGTCTCTCTCACGGAGTTGTGGAAATTAATTGACCCAGTCATTGCTATCTAATCAACTACGACAATGCTCACACGACGTCAAACATCCCTAAATTTCTCTCATTCGCTGCTACTAGTAAACTCGGCCAATACTTATTCTAAATTTTAGGAACAGGGAAGACTATTGGTCAGATTTCATAAACAATCACAGTGGTGTTCGACGTTATTCTGAGCTAAATTTCGCTCTATTTTTAAAACACAATTACTTACTCCAGTGGATATAAAATGATAAAGAATGGAAATTTCAAACACCAATGAATCATTTTAAAGATGCTGACAGATTTTCAATAGGCCGAGGCACGCATTTACATGCATAAGGCCTTGCTCGTGATGATGCAAATAAACTTTTAGTTCAGCTTTGTAGTTTCCTATTTAACTGTTGGTAATTTAATTGCCAGACACATAAACTTAATTGCGAGACATCTTTTAGAAACAAATGAATAAAGGGGTAAGTTTCTAGAGAAAATGTGGTGCTGCGTCGGTGGGAGAGTATAGCAGGTAATTTAGTGTTAACAACTGAGTTGAAAACGTGAATCAGCCACCGTAAAGGGTAAAAAAGCTGACGTTTCGAGCGTTAGCCCTTCGTCAGAGCTAACGCTCGAAACGTCAGCTTTTTTACCCTTCACGGTGGCTAATTTACGTTTTCAACTCGGTTGTTAACACTAAATTATCTTTTAGAAACAGTTTCCAATGTTTAACGGGGTTTTTGGACTAAAACAAGAAAAACTCTCTTTCCCCCCAGTCCGTCGAGTGCGAGACATGAAGAGCGAAAACTGAGAGGGATTGTCATGGCGTTATAGAAGGTCTACATTCGTTGCCGACGTGCAGGGAGGACTCGTTTTTCAGTTTGTTCAAAGCGTTTAGCACTTATCACCGTTAAAACTAGGAGACAATGAAAGCAGCTCTACTTGAAAGTATTTGCCTTTAATACAGGTTTATACACGTGATAATAAAAAACACGAGTTTGCGATGGTGTGTTACTAAAGTTGACCCATTAGACGGAAAGCAAGAAAATCAAACGAGGACGACAACATCTGCACTCTTCAAGTGTTCGATCAAATGGTTAAAATTTCAAAGTCTGTATTTCATTCTTTGTGGGTAGATGGATCTTATGCACGAAATGCAGTTTCAAAATTAAAACAGCAACTTACACGTTAGCTCTGATGGCGACCTTGACGTCCATAAAAGCTAAACGATGCCTTGTTCTTTATCACTCAAGGCAGTTTCCGACACAATGCCCAGTAGTCTTGGCCAATATGTAACTGTACTTTAGCAACGCTTTTCACAATTTTCCAAGCCTATCATCACGTAATCTATACTAGTCCGCATGGTCGTTTACTTTTCAAATTGCTAAAGTATTTCCTGTTAATTTACCTAAGTTTTCCCTGATACGCGACAACGCACCTCAACTGCTTCAGGTTTTTTGCTATATCAGCTCGTAGACGTAATACTATAAACAAATAGATGTTTTTGTTCCACATGTCAAGTCGATAGTCATTCTCCTGCGAAGCCTTGAAGGTTGTATACCGAGTGAAACTCACAGAAGACAAAACGCAACTGAAGACCAAAATCATTCACAACTCTTGGACTATGTAACTTTCCAACTCTATTGACCACCCAAGCAAGAAAATCCCTCTAGTTATTGGAAATCTTCACACCTCAACGTGCTTCCAGCTTATCGTTACTTAGCCTTCCCATGCAGACCACAACTACCTAATTATGATCGGTTCCTATATCTTGTTGTTGGTCACACCAGTTCAATGCTTCAACTTTTTGATTTTCTTTCCTGGTGGAGCCCACCTCAGACATGACGTGTCTACTGACAGTACTGGTTTGCGGTAGTGCGCACTCTTGACATGCTCCTCGACAAGTTTGGGCGTGACACATATCACATGTTGACCTTTCCAGTATTTCACCATGTTCAACGACTGCAATGTATTGATGATATCCTCCTGTGTAATACTTGTCATGTTACTTCGGAAAATAAAAAGGAGAGAGAATGCTAATGAATAAATGCCGCTAATAACAAACATTGTGATCATTCCGATGTTGGGACCTCTTCTCAGTTTCTATTAACCCTTTAATTCCCACAACAAATTTGTAATTCTCCTTACTGTCAACCATACAATCCTCATAATGTTAGTTCAGAGAATTTAGTATTTGATCAACTAGTTATCCCCCACATTAACATTTTTCTTTATTCTCGTTACTCATCTGGTTGATTTTGTATTGATATTGTAAGGAGAACTTCTGTCTTGGTCACTCAAGGAAGTTAGAGGGTTAACCCTTTACACCCCAACATCAGTATGCATATTCTCCGTACTGTTCTCTTCACATTTCCTATTACACTAACGAGGAGAATTTGTTTGACAACCAGGAGCTTCTTAAATTAGAGATCATTTCCTATATTCTCATGACTTCTACATTTGATTCAAGGCGATACCGTAGGGAGACATTAGAAGCCAGTCACACTTAAGGATTATGGGACACAAGTAGAAGTATTGCTACTCCTCTTAGAATGGAAGTGAGACAAGCACAGGACTCTCCCCCCCCCTCACCAAGTTATGCCTGTACCCAATACCCAATACCCAATACCCAATACCCAATACCCAATACCCAATACCCAATACTTCTAGATGCAGAGAACCACTGGGATAATTAATTGTCTTGCCAAGGACCCAATCAAGAACTTTCATGACCTCTCTCAACAATCCTTTGCATTAGGCCCAAGTGAACTTTCCACTATAAAAAGCCCTCAATTTCCCCATGCCGAGACAATAGTTACAAACTCTACAAAAACCTAAGATCCTTAATGGAAAGTGTTCCTCTGAAGTTCCGCAGTATGTCCAGTAGAATCCAGGACCAGTAGCTTCTGTAACTTAACTTGCCAAGATCTGACAAGGGCTTTTCTGGTGATCCAACCATCTGCTCGATTTTGGACAATTCATAACCTAACAAAACCATCAGATAAAAATAATCACGTTGTAATCCACTGAGAAGTCCCTGTTTTATGGACAGAGCAGAACTTCAAGTAGCAGATGTGATTTGCACTTACTGAAGGCTATCAAGAATTTTCCATATCCTTTTCGCTGATAGGGTGGTAAAGTCAGTATACATGCTACATTGTTACCATCCGGTGATTCTTTCTCCTGGGATGAAGGAAAATAAATAATTCCTTACAAAAGTAAGTTAGATTATTCTACTGCCTAACAAAACATAGCCCGGCTAGTACAAAATTGTAAGCTTGTTTTGATACCACTGAAAAGCACTCTAAAAGAGAAAAAAGGAGAGTGAACTGAGAGTGTCCTGTTGCAAATTTCTAGTTCAGGTTTTTGTCACTGAATTGAAAAGTGCTCTAAAGAAGAAGGGCAGAGTAAAACCCCCCTCCCCCTGCCAAAAACAAAAACAAAAACAAAAAGGTGTTGCATTGCAAAATTTCTCCTTTCGATTCTCTGTCACTACATAGAAAAACACCCTATGGGGGAAAACACACCTCAAAAGGCTAGCAAACCAGCAAGATTTGATTGTTAATTCTCCCCTCTAGCTGCTAAACATTTCCTTGTAAATCAGTTATAAAAATGAGAATTTAGGGTTAGATCAAGATAACAACTTCTGCCTAATAAGTTGGAGTTTTCTCATTACCTGTTTGCAGGATAATGTATGGATATTATAGGGAGAAGTTCCATGTTAATCACTCCTGGGAGTTAAAGGGTTAATCAAGAACTGAGATATTTACCCTCCATTACAAACTTACAGTCTATCTTTACCTTGGAGAAGTATCCAACTAGATGGGCACCTTCTCTGTCCACTTCAGTTAGCAAGTAAAACAAGAACGGTTCCACATCAAAGTACAGAGTCTTGTGATCCAGGAATAATTTTGCAAGGAGACAAATGTTCTGACAATATAACTGCAAAGATGAAAAAGATTAGTTTACCCACACTTATAAGTAGCAGTAGAAGTATGCTCGTGAGTAAACTTCTCAACTCTTTCACTCCCAAGATCTCATTAGAAAATCTCCTTACTGCCTGCTATACAATTCTTACATGTTGTTAGTTAACAGAAGTTATTACTGGATCAACAAATAATCCCATAATTGATATTTTTCCTGATTCTCATCTCTTGTCTGCTTGATAATGTATTGATATTGTAAGGAGAAAGTCTGTCTTGGTAATTCAAGGGGATTGAAGGGTTAAAGTAGTGTATAAAGAAATTAGAAACAGTAGGAGAGGATAATTACACACACACACACCCCCTTAATGAGTTGTTCTTGAATTCTTCTCTACCGAGCGGCATAAAAAATGTGGCTCCATGTATAAAATATTTCCACATACTCTGTAATATTGTACTATCATCTGTTAAAAACACAACATGCATGGCAACACTAAAGTCTTAATTCATCAGTTTAATTCAACTCTGTAAAGAAAAAGTACAAAAATAAAAACTCAAGTTTTAAAACAAAATACCAGAGCCAGCACCTTATTTTCCTTCCCATCTACTTCATACACTGAAATTGTTCCTTTGCGATATATTTCTTTCCCAGGAGGCTGTCGCATGCTACACCTTCCCTAATATAAGATCAGAAAATCACAGAGTGAATAAAAATTAATACAATAAAGCCATACATTTATTTACATACCCCAGTGTTGGGTTCTTACTACTGCTCAGAAAGTCCAGAGTTTTTTTTATATAGCTATAGCCAACATAAGCTGAGGAATATTACAAGACAAGTAAAAACTCAAGTACTTCATATAAATAATTTTATGTATCAAGAAATGAATGAAACCAGGAGACTGGTTTCTGAGCTAAAACCACTACTACTATTCCATATGATTACATTTTAACCCTTTAACTCCCAAAAGTGATAAACATGTAACTTCTCCCTAGAGTATCCATACATTATTCAGCAAACAGGTAATGAGAATACTCAAACTCATCAGGTACAAGTTATTACCTTGATTAAACAACAAATTCTTGTAACTAATTAACAAGGAAATGTGTGGCATCAAGAGGGGAGAATTTACAATCAGATCTTGGGAGTTAAAGGGTTAAGACATGGTTTGACATTGGTAAAATCACCACGACTTTTAACAAAAGGATGCCAGATATTGTATCGAGGAAGACGTTGACATTCAATCAACATAGTGGTTTTACCAACAGATGGCTTGTTATGATGGTACTGGCATCTCGTAATTTAGCCAGAGGTATCCCCTGTTTTAATCCTTACCAAGTGCTTTTTGTATGTTTCCTCAAACTTCATGTACTTGATGCAATATTCACAGACCCACAGTTTATTCTGCTTTCCATATTCCTCAGGGAAGGGTGAAAAGTACCAAGCATCAATCTCATATTTGCCAAACTGGATCTTATCTACATACTTTATCTTGGTGATCTTTAGAAGACATAAAAATCAAACAAACAAAACAGGAGCATTATTAAACCTCTGCTGCATCCTTGAGAGCTATTCACTTTTCAATCTTTTCAGTGCTGTGGAAAACTTTATGTGCTGATCTCTGAAAGAGCCGTCCAAGGGGTTTTGCATGGCAAAAAGGTTTTGCCTCAAACTTTGCCCATTCAACTATCTTTGGTATTAAGTATATAAAACCACATTGGTTTCTGGAAATACATTGACAAAAATTTTGAGAGCTCTCAATAATCAAAGCTGCAAAAGGCCCCTTTTTGACCTCTTGCAACATTGAAAATTACAGAAGTTGAGAAGCTCGTTCCTCATAACACACTACATACAGCAGGAAATCGTTTGTATTCCTAAATTGTGTGATATATAAGGTTTGGAAAGCATTTCAATTTTGACATGTGTTTATTCAGAGGTTCACCATAATTTATTAAAAAACACCCATAAGAAATATTTTTTTTATTGAAAAACACCAGACTAGGCCATTGAAAACTCCAGTTGATTTCTTCTGCTAAGATGTTCAAAAGCATAGAAATGTGAAAACATCTTGCACTTTGCTCTCTAAACTCAAATATAGAAGAGCAGAGACCACTTTTTTTAAAAAAAAGTTTCTCATTAACACGTTGAACACTAATCAATAAGATATTTGATATGCTTTGTTCACCTTTTTCATCAGGAGACAAAATCATTTGCCTGAATTTAGCAGTTTAAAATGTTTAGAAAATTAATCAGTGTGTTCTAAAACCTCTACCTACTACCTTTCCTTTTTAAAATGGTTAAAATCTAAGATTTATGAGGCTACCAATATAAACAGTTGGAGTTTGCTCAACAGACTAATTTGCAGAATTCTTCTGTCATGCTGACAAAATCACTAAAAGTTTGAAGTCACTGAGGCAAAGGAAATTAACAAGTGCAAGATGTTTTTTCATTTCTATGCTTTCAAACATTTCATTAGAAGAAATCAATCAGAGTTTCCAGTGGTCTGGTCTGAACTTGAGAAATATCACCCGAGAAAGAAAGAGTACTTTTGACCAATTTCAGAAAGCTGTCTAATGGGTGTTTTTAAATAAATTATGGCGAACCTCTGAATAAACACATCTCAAAATTGAAATGCTTTCCACGACAGTAAGTAAGATAGTAAGATAGTAAGATAGCTTTATTACACAATTTGAGAATACTAACAATTTTTTACTGAGTGCAGTTTGTTACGAGGAGCAAGCTTGCCAACTTTTGAAATTTTCAATGTTGCAAGAGGTCAAAATATGGCCTTTTGCAGCTTTGATTATTGATAGCTCATAAAATTTTTCTAAGGTATTTCTAGCAACCAATGTGATTTTATTAACTTCTTACCAAAGATAGATAGATGGGCAAAATTTGAGGCAAAACTCTTTTCTACTGTGAAACGCCTTGGACCACTCTCACAGAGATCACCACTTAAATTCTCACTGCCAGGTAAAAGTGTGTTAAGATTATTACAAAATAACTTCAAAAAAAACCTTACTTTAGTTAAAAAAAAAAAAAATTACAAACTTACAGCTTCATGTTCTTTCTCCAAGGCTGCCGTTGTAGGATCCATTTCTGCATAGGTCTGTAAGGAAATGATTTAACACTTTAATCCCTGAGAGTGACTAGCATCTAATTTCTCCTTTCAATATCATCCCTGAATCAAACATTAAGGTCACAAGAATAAAAGAAATGATAATCAACTGAAGAACCTCTTGAGTTTTAAACAAATTCTCCTTGCCAGTACATCAGAAAATGTATCTATTAGAGAACAGTATGGAAAATAAGCATACTGATGTTAGAGTGTAAAGGGTTATGGCAATATGTTTCTTATACACATGGGGCATGTATTAACACCATCGTAACCAATGTATAACTAAAATGGGTAAAAAGGGGCAACTTGATGTAACAAATTTGTATAAAAGGTACAGTCCACCATGTTTTTTAAGACTATGCCCTATAGCTAAGAAACTTAGGCAGTTTTGATTTTTGTATATTTCACAGACTGCCCTTAATGTGCAAAAATAATTTCTAACAGAAATAAAAAAAATAACTCAAAGAAAATTGCTACATTTATTTTCTAATTAATACATCTGCTTTTCATTCATTTCCATTTACTTTCTGATTATGTTGTTTCAGGCAAGTATCTCTATCTAAGATCTGATAGAATTTAGTGCAATAGCCCTTATAAGTAGACTGTCTCGTAGAGTCATACAGGTTACGAAAATTGCTGAGTTGACTTTCTAAAAACTTAGTCCCTCGTAAAATTTTCAGCCAAATTCCAAAAACAAAAATTTATTCTTACAAAAACATAACAGACTTCTAAACCAAAAAACAAAACTCCCCGTGTACTGATGCATAGACAACTTTGGGATTGTGACTTATTTGGAATCCTACAAAAGTTAATTACCTTGTGATCAGCTTTTAAGAAGAATTACAACAGGAAGAATTCCAACTTTGATGAAAGATCAATCCATGGAAATGACAAAGTTTACGATCATCAATGTTAAAAAAAAATGGAATATCTAAACTACATCAAGTGTGTAGATAACCTTTAAAAATTTAAAATTATGATATTTCCTTTCAACTTACCTTCTGAACATGATTAATTTCATCATGTTTGCGTTTCTGATTTCTCGTTAGTTTCCTTTCTGGACCTTCAATGTCAATTTTCTCCTCTACAATTGGAACATGCATGTGGACGTCTTTCTGTTGAAGATCAACTCTTTCCATTGGGACCCACTCATCCAGGCGTCTGTTGACTTCAATGACAGGGACCATTTTTTGAACACTGTATGTCGATAACTTGCAACTATATTTTTGTTGAACAGTCTGATGCAATTTGCTAAAAATGTCATTCACAAGTTCACATTTACTCTTCCCTTTACTAAAACAAGACTTGAGCTTATAGAAAATGAAATTTTTGTTTTTATCTGGAAATTTTTAGAAACTTGGATAGATCAGGTTTAAGACTGATTCCATTCAAATTACAACTGCCCCTAAAGTCAAATAAAGAATACAGAAAAAGAAAATTAATTTGGTTTGATAACTGTGATCACAAAAATATGGGAAAATAAGTCCTCTGTGTAAAGTAACACGTTTAAATATATAACCTAGGTCCAAATAAAAAAAAAGCAGATTTTAATGACGTCACGTTCTCAGCGACGTCACATTCTGGGAATAAAAACGTCATATTGTTAATAGTAACAGTGACATCTATCACTTTTAGAGGGGAATACAAACCCACCGCCCAGATAAAACATCACAAAGGAGAAAAAGGTCGTCGATTATCTTAACTATGTTGTGAGATTTTTTAAGGAGCCTTTCTCACAAAAATGAAAAGCTTTGCAATATATCAACAGAAAGCGAAATAAAGTAACTTACATCCATGATAATGAACGTAATACTCCGATTTTCCCTCATCTACCGGTCTTATGTGTATGATTTCAGCAGGATCTATTAATAAAAGAGAAAAAATTAACAAACAACGGACCGAAGCTACGAGAAAGAACGAAAGTGAGTCAGCAAAATTTTTCGAACGTACGCCATTGCTGATCGGATGGTCGTTGCACTAAACACTGTCGTTCCGCATCTAATACTGAAACCTCAGACGTTTTTCGAGTCTTAGAGCTTTTCTCTTCCAATTTCTTCGGTTTTGAACCAAGATCTCGCTTTTCCTCTTCAGTTTCAAGGCCATCTTTCTTGATTTCTCCGTTCACACCCGGCATGTTGTTGTCCGAGTCCATGTGCCATAAATAAGGTCCCGTCATGCTTAGTGAGCTTCTTCCCAGTTTGTGACAGGTTTGTGGCGTTACGTCGCGACTGGCGTTGCGTTACTGGTTTCTATGTAGTCCTTGAGTGATCGGGCTAACCATGAATTACCCTAAAAATTATCTAAAAATAAGAGAGAACAATATTCGGAACATCATATCACAATAAGGCTTCACGTGCCTTAACATATTTTAATCTGTGGTTTATTTACCGAGCCATATGTCAAAGTGGCTTTCAATCTATGATACTTCATAATTTCATAGCCAGTTTAATTTTCTGTTTCAGAGACAATGAATTTACAACTTAAAAAAATTATTTTCATCCGCCCTCTCTTGGAATTTCGGAATCTGATGCTTTTAATTGATGTTTTGAGCTCGCTATATGTACAATTAAAATTACGAAAGGAAAGGGTGAAGAATTTTGAATATTAAAGAAGCTTGAATCAATTTCTTTAGTTCTAATAATCAAGATCAAATTATCAGAGTAGCTGATGCGCATGAGTAAACCGCACTGCAGTTCGTGATACTCAGTCTTTCACTTATCTCTGAAATGATAATGATGATTAGAACGGAGGCAAGATGTACAAATTGCAAAAAATAGCAACAACAAGCTTAAGAGTTTTTATCTTCTTTTTAACTTCATTTTCATTTTTTTTTCTCCTTCATTAAAATTGATCACCCACCTAGTTTCCAAAAGTTAATCAAAATCAAGATATGCCGGAAAAATCATAAGAGCTCTTCTCCCAGTATGTTAGAGAGAAAATTAAATTTAAGGGAAGTGGTCATCGCGCAGAAATGTACAATATTTTGAAGTTGCATGGAACCACCTGCGCCTGTGGTTACAGCATGTAAAGATACTGGACACATTTTAAAATCAGTCTCCTCCTTTGAGATTTTAGGGAGCCCGAACTGTGTAGTGCATCAATCACCCCAACTATTGCGGTAAGCGAAAAAAAAATTGCTAGATTTTTTTAAGTAGTAAGACGTGATATTTCATGCGTGACAAAACTTTGTTGCGGTTTAACCTCGACTAGCTGAAAATCCTGGTAAGTGGCCGCCATAACGATTAATACCATAATTGTGTATAATTGATGGATCTTTGTCCTTTGAGTTTGAGAAACCAATCTGTTTTTCGGCGGAAACAATCTTCGCTACCATTTTTGGCGAACTTCACGCAAGGACACAAGAACTTATGCGCGTAGCCCGCATAAATTTTCTACGCAGTTTTTCGCGCAGGAAAATGTAATAACTAATATTGATGCGGGTGATTCACAAGTATATCATGGAGATGGGGTTTGGACATTAATGGACGGTAAGCATCAGAAAAGGGGTTTACATTTTGATTCTGTACGCTAGCTTGTGTGACAATCCACCGTGTGAAAGTAAATTAAAAAGGTACTTTTTGTCTTTTGTTTGCTCATATGTAAACAAATAGAATACAGAATTAATATATTCACGAAATTTTGCATTGTGTGTGTGTTTTTAGAAACAATAGCTCATGAAAATTCTGCTGAGGGCAAAAAAAAATGTAATAGAAACTCGAGTTTTAAGTTGATCCTTCTTCACAGATATCGCCTTACTGGAAATTATAACTTGTCATCAAACTGCGTCACAATTACGCAGGCCAGCCAGCTCGTTAAAGCTCTGAAGGTGTACTGGAAGCTGAATCATTTTCAATTCGGTGAGTTGCGTCTATAAAACGATAAATACATTGATATCAAGACATTTAAGGAGGAATTTCTTCGCCAACATGCAAAGTATTAATAACTCCATAGAGGCAAACATTTGGCGAGTTACATTCTGGGGGAGCCCCCTGCTACTAAGTATTTCACTATCCTCTCTACGATACCAGATAAACCAAATAATTGAGTTCATTTATGTAAAACATCGGACACCTCGACGATAAAAATACGGTAACAAAAATCAATTTTGGATCATCTCCTGACCTAAAAGAGTGACATCGAGAAAAAAGTTGACGTTCCGTGTGGAGCGATAAGGCTAACCCACAGGGAGACCAATCACCCGGCACAGACTCGGTAAAGTTGTTTTTTTTTTTTTTCGTTTATAAGTTCCTAATTGCAATTTTTGCCAAAAATTTGCATAAGATCAAATCGAAGAAGAGATGCAAGTGTTTTTTTTTTCGGTGCAGAAAGGACCAATGGAGCGTCTGTGTACCACAACTTTCTGATACTAAGCAGTCAACAGCAAGCGTAGCGGAGCAAGAAAAACAGCGCAATACGTTTTGTGACTGCGTTAGTTTGCATCAAGATTTAGGCAGGTATACAGCTGTTATTGAAATCCTTACCGTTATCGAACTATGATAACTTGCTTTTTTTTTTTCGTTTGTGTTTCCAGTGAGAAAGGCGGTGAGATATTAGCGGCTACAATCACAGGTTATGATGTGGCCGTGTGCTTAGTCTGCCGGAGCTTTTAGGACGTGTCACACGTTTAATATAAATTATGGGTCCAAGGCGAACTTTGAGTCCTCGAAAACAACTGACGCACCATGATTAGTGACCAGTGTATTGCTTCAAAATAAATGCGAGAAGCAAAGTTTTACAAGGGACAACCTAAAATTTGACGCATTTCAAATTTGGATGCAGCGTGAGTCTAGGAAAATTGATACGGCCAATGATTTTTTTGAAGCACTGCGCGGGATCCTTCCGGGATCTAGCCGTGATTCCCACCAAGATTCCCAGCAGCGCTCTTATTAAGATTTCTCGAGGATCTTGCAGTGATTGCCACTAGGATCCCCCGGGCATCTTAACTTATATCCGCCCGTCATCCCGCCCGGGTTTTTGCGAGGATCCCACCAGAATCTTGCGGGGATTCTCGAGAGATACTGCCTGAAATTCTCGTAGGGTTCGACACAATATTAGCGAAATTCACGTGAGTACCTAGCCTTATCTCGCCTTGCCCTGTTTTTGAACAAATTTACACGATTTAGAGTTACTGGGGTAATTCGTTTTCAGGCCTTTCTCGACTGTGTATCGCTTGACAGCTTGTGTAGTGGTGCGTTACTTAGTGTTTGGAGAACGAGCCTCCACAAGAAGCATAAACACCAACAGAACACTTATCTATAATCTCCTGTGATTACCAGTTATACTGAGACCTGTCTAGTGACCGATTTAGTCCGAAGAACAGCTGAGGATATTTTGCGTTTTTAGGGAAGCAAAGCTACGTTCAAGGAAAATACAATGGGAAAGTCACGCGCCAGAGAAGGAGCGCTTATCACGTCGCTTGCTTCCGCTCGCGCCCGGAAAACACGACAAAAGGGTCACCTATTTTTCAGGTTACCGGTAGGTTACAGGCTGAGGCTAAAGGAGAAGGCTTTACTCGAACCTCTCTGAGTTTAAGGCGAGAAAGGAAGCAAAAGCTTTAATTAACAATTTGGAAGCTGCTCTAATTAATCGCGTCACGCGTTAAGAGAGACCAATTCGTGAAGATAAGATGATGACTTCAAGACCGTCACATCACGCTCTCTGGACTCATTCCGTTCATGTGATTCGTTCAACTGAACAGTCTTGTGGAAGGGGGGAAGCTCTTCTCATAATTTATCGTCGGGGGGTGGTAGGAGGATTTTTGGGGGGAACGCATGGTTTCAGGGGGGTCAGCTGTCACCAACAGAGTATAAAAGTGGAGACTATAGAGAATTTACTGCCAACTAAATACCGATGAGGGGCATCCGTAAGAATATTACAGAGACCTGGCCCCTCCCCCCCCCTTCCACAGGCGATAAATCCTGACCCTTCCTTAATCTCTCAGAATATTTTAAGAGGGCTTGAAAGAACGGATATAAGGCACGAACTCTCATGTCCTTCAGTGTTTTTTCGTGTATCAGAACCTAGTTTGGGTATCTATAAAAGAAAGCATTGTTCGCAAATATTAAACAATAGAGATTGATCGGTTGGTTTCAGCGTTGAGTCCGATAACTGCTTCAGTTTTGTTCTTGTTGACGGGAGATCACATATCTTACGGTAAGTTTTTACTGAAAGCACCTTTCACCACAGGGTTTATGTTCACTCGGCATCGACGCTTTAATTTGCGCTTTCGTCACAGTTTTCACAATTTTGGGAAATTAGCGTAAATTTTCCAGTCCTAATGTGCTGTTTGCAATCCGGGTCAATCTTTTTTATTTTCAACTATCCTTGTTCTCATTTGTTTTTTTCGCCTTATCCATATATTTCATTGTGACCTTTCCGTTTTCCAAGAATGCATTTTGTAGAACAGACATGGTCCATTCAGCTGACTTTCGTACGCTCTTGCAACAAAATTTAGCTAGAAACTAAAAATTGAATTTTCTACTTTAAAGAGTTGTTAACTCTCGCACAGAGCTACGCAAAAAAAAACTTGTAAAGTACAAAACTGGAGCAAGTTGACGCTAGCTTGGGATTTTATTTAGACTAAAAGCAAACCGCTGACAGCCTCTTTCTCATATTACCGACCCCTCCCCAACCTCACGTGGTTTTAAGCTATGAGAAAGTACACATCTCTAATAGACTCAAGCTGACAGGTCACGTTTTTCAAAGTTCGCACCCACCGTCCGTGTTTATCGGTTTACACAAAGGCTTTCCTTACTCTATATCTGGCATCTCCGTTCGTTAACAGCCTCGTAAACAGCTCTTGGCTTTATGATTAGAAAGGAGGTAGCAAAAACAAGCTGATCATTCCGGCACTTCTTTTGGTACAGATATAGACACTAGATATGGGTTATTAACCTAGTTGAGGTCAAGGTAAATACTAAATGGCTGGTCAAGTTGTTTTTGTTGATTCGTACTTTTTAAGGGAACAAAAAGGGCAATCCTGAGCACTTCTGGGGTGGGGGGACATCCTCAGTTGGGTGGCCAAGCAGAGGTGCCTTCCTCTCTCCTTCCCTTTCGCCTCTAGTGCACTTAAAGAGAAGGGTGTGCCAGAACCATCTCATCAAACCGAAGGGGAGTTCCGGATATCTCAAACTTCCTGACATCTAGCTGTTAGTCCGCATCTCCGGGGGTAGACTCGTATCCGGCGTATTCACTAATCTAATTTTAACCTGAATGCCTTGAGTTTTAAGTATCTCAAATTATCTTGCTGTTTCTAAAAGCAGGAAAGTTTCTCTGATTTGACAAGCCATTAATTTCACTATGTTGAAATTACGTGAGTTGCGCGAAAACCACCAACCACACGCTGAGGTTTTGATTGTCAGACAGTCTGGGAAGCAGTAGGGTACAGAGCTAACCGTCCATCAATTAGCATCTATTTATTAACGTATGCGCCAGAATATTTTCATATAAATCAGCAATATTTCTTTTCACGTGCTCTGGGGGAACATAGTTCATAGTTCACTTGCAGGTAGTACCTGTTGTGGTTGCGCTAATTGCTCATCAATAGAAATCCAACCTATCACCAGCTTCTCAATAAACCGGTTTATAATCCAATGGTAACAAGAGATTTTGAAAATCAAACGACCTAAACCTCACTTCACGCAGCAAATTTTTTCCCGTACACAGAGTTCGCAGGGATCTTGGAGCCTTCTCATCCATGTTTCTTTACATAAGATGACGAATTATTCCAAGGATCTCAACTACGATTCTAAACGTTCCTGGTTCGTCTGCGCATCTTCGTTCATAGTGCAGTTCACTATCTTTGGGATACACAGTTCCGTGGGGATTTTTTTCATCGCCTTCGACAGGGAATTTCACCGGAGTGAATCCGCTACAGGTACGAAATATTTCGATCCGCTTTATTCTGAATTTTTTTTATCAGTATAGTTAATAAATTTAGAAATCACTGATTCCTGTTATGCATCTAATTTATAGTGCATGTATCTGTAAGCCAGATGAAATGACATTGCAACACATGTATCTTCACTTACCGAGAGGTTATCGCTAAGGACAAAATACGAAACCAAAACATCTGCTGTGATTGGCTGTAGCTTTTTTTGGAATACATCTAAAACAGTAAATAATTTGTCAAGTTTACTTCAACGATGAGTATTTCATTACCGTTACTCAGTAAACCAGAAGTTAATGAGCTTTGGCTACAGCGGGCCAGATAAACCAGTTTTTGCGCAGTTGTTTTTCACTGTACGGACGTTCTGCTTCGTGTGAGACCAGTTTGGTACGCAAGCACGTTTTCCGGAAATTGGTAATGTTATATAGTTTCCGGAAAGTAACGTTGATCTCTTTTGAGAGAACAGGGAATGACTAACATGATTAAATCAGTGTTATTTGCCTTCCTGCTTCGACAGATTTCTGATTAAAAAATTTACGTCAAAGTCTAAATTCCCCATTTCGGAGGGGCTACAGCAATTTCGCAGGGGAGGAGACAAGACATAAGTAAGTGTTTAAACGGTGGGGGCTGGGGACGTGGAGATTCAATCTGTATTTAAGAACCATTGGATATTTGACCACTATTTGACGCTAAATCTTTGTAAAACATTAAGGACGGTCTTTTTTTATTGCACTCACTAGTGGAGAGTAACGGAAGAAAATCTCGTGTTCAAGTTTCAGGAAGGCCTCCCCTGTTCACAATGTCAACACATAGAATATTTGACATTGATCAGAAAATTAAAATTCCTTGCTTGTCGATCGGCTTTCGATAATTCAGTAGTATCAGAGAAGGCGAGATCACGAACACTTATCTCGTCACGAGATCCTACGTCACCTAAGAGAGACCTTGAAGAATGTGACAGGCCAGGAGCGTGAAATGTTAGTTGTAAAGACACGCATTTTGTGTCTACAAGAGTCACCCAGAGAATATCTTTTTTTTTTTTTTTTTTAATTTTTTGTTAGGTGGCTTGTGAGTGTTTCTCTGAATGAAAGAAAAAATGGATATCTGTGTAAGAGCTCCATCTGCGGATCCAAAGTTATAGCTAGGGTTCCAGAGTTATATATTATTACGAACTTTGGATCCATTGTGGTAGCACTGAATCAAAAGTTATAACTGTGGATCTATAGTTATAATTTTGACTCCAATATCCACCTTTTTTCTTTTTACTAGAATGGTACTTATGAGCCACCGCACTAATGATGCACGCAACTTCATGTGATTCTGGCCTCTTGGCAACAGATCATTTAAAATTAAAATCAGTATGGACATGAGGCGGTTTTAACTGGACCAGTGTCAAAGCAGTTCCCTTTTTTTTTTCCTTTTTTTTTTTTTGTTGACTTTTCTCACGGAAAGCAAAAGGTCACATCAGCGATCTTGTGGTTTTGCTATATTTGTCCCATTCACTAACGTATTTTTTTAACCTTCCATTATAGTCACGCAATGTGAAATCCATAAGGACCAACCATCAACAAGTATCAAATCATCTCCTTTCACCTACACTGAAAATATTCAAATGTTTCTAGTCTAGGACTAAATTTCATCTCGTTTAGTCGGTTTTAAACGATTGACTTGAGTTTCCAATGGCAATAATTTACGGTTACCTCGGACTGTGAGCAAAAACTGACCCTTTGTTCATATAACTTGTTTATTCAGGGAAAACCAGAAAACAAACAGGCATACATCTCGTGACTAGCTTGCTTGTCTTATCAGCTACCAAGGCTCAACAAGAGCACGAACTATTTGCTTTACTACGTCATTGATATCATCGACTCAATGTCATCAAAGAACTGGTTAAGCTAGTTTCACAGAATGCTTAGTGCACATTTCTCTCATCGTAATATCGAAAATGCCAATCTAATGTCTTCTTTGACTTCGGGCGGACCTCGTCCGTCATTTCCGGTGTTTTTGGCGTTATACAACAGAAGACCGAAAAAAAAAGATTTCCCTCTAAGGTTTGTGCGGTAAAGTTTCACTCCTCCTTCATATTCGCCAGTCTTAAGTTGAATTTCAGGTTCAATGCAAACAGCAAAGAGAAAGAAAGGTCGATTATGGTTTTGTATAAAGGAAATTACAGGGACGCTTTTGGCACCCGCTCTGCGGGCTGTATGAAATTGTTGATACCCAGGCGAGGCTGGTAAAAGTTTATATTCAGACAGTATGTTTACACGTTAACCCTTTAGACCCTAAGAATGACTAGCATCTAATTTCTCCTTACAATATCACCCCTTAAGCACACATTAAGGTCAGGAGAATAAAGGAGCTGATCACGGACTAAAGAAGCTCTTGATTGTTAGGCAAATTCTCCATGTCGGCATCTTAGGGAATGTATAGAGAATAGTATGGAGAATATGCATACTGATGTTAGGTTGTGAGGGTTGAGCGAATCAAAATACCCACGACAAAAGCGTCTGCATAAGCACCGAAAAAAGGGACATGTTTGTTCCCCTTGTGCCTATGGCGCTCGCTTTGACCCAGATCTCTTCAAGAGACTATCTGGTGAAAACCAGCCTCCTCTAATATATGAATCTATTTTCTTACAGCATGGGTAGGCTCATTGGCATTTGGACTCATGTTTTTCCTGGGACCTCTGACTACAGTGCTGTGCGAGCACTTCGGATGCCAAGTGGTCACGTGTGTTGGAGGCCTTCTCTCATTCACTGGTCTTCTTTCTACGTCATTCGTAACCAGTTTCCCTTTATTGTACTTCACTTATGGCTTTCTATGGGGAGCTGGGACGAGTCTTTGTTACTTCGCCTCTTTGGTCAGTTTACCGTTGCATTTTAGAAATTATTTATCACTGGCTTATGGAATCGCTATCGCTGGGGCTGGCTTCGGTGTTCCGCCGACAACATGGGCAATCAATCAACTTATTGGATATTATAACTGGAGGATAACCATGAGAATTCTCGCCGGAATGTCACTTTTGATGAGCGTTTCGAGTGTGACCTACGGTGGCTTTGCAACTGTGCAAGAACATTGTGTTGAAATGGAGAAGAGCAACGCATCTAGGCATTCAATAAGTGAGACTACCCTAAAGCTTAAATTACGTATTTTGGAATTTTTTAAATTAAATCCTTGGAAAAATAAGGCCTTTGCGGTATGGGCCGTTTCCCTAAGCTTCATCGCGTTCGGAAACTTTATACCATTTGTCTTTTTGGTAAGTACAACTGTGAAAACTTCTACAGTGTTTTTCCAGCGGCCCCTTGCGCTGGCGAAAGGCCTTGGAAAACCTCACCCCTAGTTCCAACAAAGATTTTCTTAGGCTCTGCACAACGCTTATTCCATATTAGTTTTCGCTTGGTAAATACAACAGTGAAAGGAGAGTTTAGAAGCAAATTTACTGCATATTAACTCTAAAACAAAACATGTTTTAATTTTATTGCTCCAACAGATCAGCATTGCAAACGAGATTGGAATACCGAGCTCCAAAAGCGCATTACTCATTGGTTACCAGGCCATAACGAATACAGTTGCTCGCATCGCGTTTGGAAGGCTTGTTAATAATCCTCGAATGGACAAAATTGTATCGGTTCAAATAATGGGCCTTATGTTAGCTGTTAACGCCACACTCTTTCCTTTAGCAAAGACTTACTCTTCTTTAGTTGTATATGTCGTTGTCTTCGGTTGTTTTGATGGAAGTTTAGCTGTTATGTTTGGGATGGGTACATTGCATATTGTTGGAGAAAGACTCGCCGGGCGCGCATTTGGAAATCTTTGTTTCGCGGCTGCTATTGGAAATGTACTTGGCCCTCCTGTAGCAGGTTAGTATCACTGAAGTGATATCAGAATGTCACGTCTATAATTAGGAGTTCGTATCCAAACCCAAAATAAGTTGCATAGAAGATGACGTCATAACTAGCAATGTGGATCTCTCTTATGAGAGATTATGAACTTTGAGGAGAACTTGTAATTCAATTTTAAACAGTGCATTATACCTGGGGGCCTTTCCGCACTGGCGAAAAAGTGTCATCACCGACATTTTACAAATGCAAATGATTTGACAAATTTTGGACTAAGCGGACAAATCTTCAAATTACGCACCGCTGACAAAATTTGTCCCGGGTAAAAACTGGACAAAATCGACAAAATAAACAAAACCGTGATAAACTTTTCAATCATTTGTCATAAAAGCTACGACAAGCGTGTAATTGAACTGAAGTCAGTTTACCAGAAAGGCACAAATGGTGTTTAGTTGCAAAATTCGGAGATTCTAAAATTTTAAAACGACCTAGGATAAGTCCTGTAAATTGGAGGTGGAATCCTTTGGCAACTATGCTGGCCGCTCTTATGAACAGATCAGGCGCTGACGGAATTTGACGACTTAAAATTTTAAATGCGGATGCAACAGACGAAACAAAAATTCTTCATGACGAAATTTGTCCTTTGAATTGGTCGGGACAATTCTAGTTTGGTCCGCTTGTGCAGAAGGCCCCTCAGTGAGATCTTTTAGCACATTAAGAGCGATTAGGGCCTTTCTACTTCCCTTTGGGGGAATATGCTGGTCCATAAAAGGTTACCCACCTTTCTCAAAGACGCAAAACTAGTTAACAAAGAGTCTCCCACACTTTCTTTTGAAATATCGCCTTCATCACAGTTTTCACTCATCACAGGTTTTATCTTTGATGTCTTCGGAAAATATGACATTGCGTTCTTCCTTTCTGGAGCCTTCATGACGCTTGGGGTTTGTCTGTTGTTCCTTGTGCCTCGTTTGATGCCGGAAAAAATAGAAGTATGCGAAGAAAGAGTGGTTCTTTTAAGCGACGATGCTAAGAAACAATCAACTAACTACAAGCAGAAGCCCAGAGCAATTTACAGCTTTCCAATAGAGGCTGCTTTCTTCGCACAAACTCGCTGCGATCACGTGCTACAGCATAGTGTTTCTATGGGAACGTTAAGAGAGATTGATACGCCACCTTTGATTAAGTCAGCAATGTTCCGCGCATGGTCTGCCGCTGCCCAATTACATTGCACTGACTCTCTGAATGGTTCATCGGGTTATGAGAGTGACTTCAATAGACAAAGCTCTTGCACTCAGTACAGTGAAGTCGTAGATAAGTCACTGGAAAACGAACATGGGTCTATAACCTTGGTAACACCGGCTATGAGTTTTGACAATATGGAGGTTTTTGTTCAACAAGAGAAACTTCAACAAGAGGGCTGGGTTGGAGGTGCTATGGATTTGTATAGTGTTATGTTTGAATCCTTGTTGGAACGAGTAGAAACTAATCCAAGAACTCCATTTGAAGATGATTCAAGCGATGAAAACGCTTCCAAGGCTGACGCAGAGATGAAAATAATACCCAATTTTTCCCAGTCAGAATTTGGGTGCAAGTTAGATCTTTGTCGAGAAACGATTTTATAAAATTACCTTTCAAACTATTTGATTAGGACTTTTTTATCATTATGTTAAAGGTACTTATTATTGGTTAAAATGGCTGGCCATAACAGTTGGTCGATGAAGCGAATTATGTTATTCATTAGGACTGCTTTCCGATCAAATTACGTAGTTTAAAAGCTAACGTTTCGAGCGTTGGCCCTTCGTCAGAGCGATTGTTAACAACCGCTAAGTCGGAAACGAGCCCGCTCTCCTCTCCCACAGGCAGTCTTATCTCGATGAAGAACAAAGATCGGACTCGACAGAGTGTTAGGACGTACTGTCTGAGAGAGACTCATAAAAGATTACCATATTGGGAAAAAGGGTGGTTCGTCATTATGGACTAGCGTTTACCGTTATCCAACAATTTTAAAATTAATTTAATGACTAGAGGGTACATAAAAACGTTTTAATGATCCTAGTGATACACAGTGTTGTACTAGGGCAACTTCTGACTCAGAAGGAATTATTTGTTATCAAAATAACATCGAATATTTATTGGTTTCTAAGAAACGTCTTCCATTCAAGAATTGCAAAGAATATCTAACTTGTCAGCCATTTTTTAGGCACTGGTAAGTCAGCACATTTCAATGTTTTGGTGACTCAAAGTTTCAATACTTTGTATTAATTGCGAATTTTTACGAATTTTTATTTTAATATTTATTAATTTTATATGTATCGAGAGCGTTCCTCTGTGAATTGTAAGTTTTTTATTCATTATTTTGTTGGTTTTATCGATTTGAATTCGTTCAAAAAGGACATCTTAGGGATGGTTGGTGGAATCTTAGCAAAATAACAATGATGTCATTGTCTCGAAAAAGTTCTAATTCTTAATTTATTAATTAAACGATTTACTGAAAATGATTTAAGTTATACTTAACCTTGCTGGTTTGAGGGATATCATATGGGTTTTTTCTTTAAGGATAATTGTCAAAATATTAATGCACTTTGCCATAAATTAAGGGGCGTGCATCTCATTTTATGTAGAGAAGTAAAAGCGTTTTTAATCTAAATATGGGAGGTGGTTGAATCCGGAACTAAAGACAATAAAATAACTCTACGCGATGTGTTGAGGTTAAATCGATGATGGTCGCCTGCAAAGTTTACCTTGCGCCTAAGGTGTGTATCAAATACACCTCCTTGAATAGCTAGTTCGGAATTAAATTAAATAGACATATGAACCTTCGCATGGTATTATCTCTTTCAAGTATGCTCATCAGCTGACTTATATTTCAGTTTATTTTCCGGTTAACTAATAAACAGTCCCCTGAAAAATGTCTATGAGGCAGGAGATATATGACAAATATTTTCGTACGCACTGCTCTCATTTTTAGCCGTGGGAAGGATGCGTGCTTTAAATTGGCAAATTGTGTCACTCTTTTATTGCTTGCCTCAAACCACCCCCTTTCCTTCTTAGCTTTCCTTATATAAACTATTTGTCTTCTCTTTCAAGCTGATGTTAACATCTGATTTTCACTGTTTACGCTAACCGTTACAGCTCTGCAATGAGTACGTACGGCGACTATTTATCTCTATCCTTGGTCCGATGTGTAGCTATCTTCGTGCAATTTGTTGTAAGGCAGTTCATTCTCCGACAGATTCGAGCTCGAATCTGTTGAAGTGCTGGAATCATCTGTTGATGAATCAGTGGAAGGGCGTTTCTGAAGAACTTGGGAATCTTGAGGAAGATCGCGTAGATTCACATATTGGATCTGTCCATCGTTTTTCACCAAAAGAGGCGCGATGTCATCATGGACCGAAGCTTTAGCCAGGTCTTCATCTGCATTAGAATCGTAGTCATCTTCGCATTTACATTCTCCGTCCTCATCCTGAATCAGCTCAAATTCTCGACAAATTATACCAGATATTGAATTGCCACTCTGTTTACTCGTTAAGTCTTCAAGCTTAGATTCAGTTAACAAATCGGATTCAATCTCGCTGACAGAATTCCCAGTCGCTGACAAATCCGCCCCACTTAGGACCGGGTTGGCTTCCACACCCTGACGTTCATTATTAAAGCACTCCTCGGTGTCTCTTTCATGTCTATTATCTATCATTACTTCAGGCTGTACACCGTCTCCCTGGTCAATATTCTTAACATCTGCTGTAAATGTGTCCTTCCCCACATATTCTCTGACATCAACCCCAAGTGGGCAAGTATTCTCCTTATTGGTCAAGATGATGGTGTCTGTTCGCTTTTTATGGACTTGCTTGGGTGGTGGAGGAAGTTTTAGAGGAAAACCTTGGTCTTTGGCTGCAGTGATAATGTCGACTGCGTCGGAAAAAATCTGAAGAGGAGGAAATAGATTCTCTTGATCATTAGTTTTGAAATCCTGAGTTTTATTCTTCGCATCTGGGGAAATCTTGGTCGAGGTATTTTCAAACTTCGAACTGCCTTCGGAGGACGATTCACTTTCAGTGTCCATCTCAAAAATTAAGCACTCTTGGCTTGAATTGAATTTCGTCCACTTGCTCTGAACAGTCAAATGTTGGTATGTATCCGTTATATTTTCTGAGGTGAGCGAAGTATGTCCTGCGAGATCAGTTTCTGTGGCCTCCTCCTTCGGATGAGATGTCACAATGTTCTGTTGATGAGGGCCTTCGTCAGGAGCGACCAAAGTTTCTTTACAATAGGGCTGCTCAACCTGTCGGGGAGAATTATCTGATGTGGGCGAGATGTGTGATAAATTCCTTCTTTCCGATGAAATCGTGTCCGGTTCTTCGGCTTTAAACTGCTCTCGGTCAATGAGCGTTTCTGTCTGCTGCCAGGAAGGAAGGACCTGTTCTTTTTGTGCTAGAGATTCATCATGAAGCTGAAGTAGATTTTGCGACTCTACTGGAATACCTTCAGGAGATGGCTGAAATGGGTTGTGTTCGGAAATCTTCGTGTACGCTATTTTATCTGTTTCCAAGAATAAGTTTTCTGCAGTCAAGAATGAGTTTGTAAGTTTTTCCACTGAACTTTGATCAGTAAGAACGCCAGATATTTGCACTTCACCGGATTCTGTTACAGATTCTGATAGTTCTTGCAATTCGGCTGGGTTTGCGGGATCGGAAAATGCCTCTGGTTGTTGAATTTTTACTGATTCAGGCTGACAGTAATTATGCTCTTTTCCTGGTTGTATCTCTGTTGTGCTCCCTGGATTTTGTTGGTTTAAGTTTGGATCCATCTTGTCAAAGTGCTGGTCAGCTTCCTGTGTAACCACATCCTGGTAGAGATTCTCTTCTTTTGGCACCACTTCTTCCGAAGATGGAGGGTAATTCGTAGCTGACGTTCGACAAGGGTCGTCTGCTTGGGTGGTTTGAAGCCTCGTTATATGGAAATGATGATGACATTGACTTTGCCTGGAGGCATCCGTTCCTTGGAAACGCAAATACGGAATTTCCGGTTCACAAATAGGTGATGGTTCTGGGTGGCCAACTATTATATCCACAGGAGAGTTTGTGTGACCTAGCTGACCTTCATTTGTCATAACACCAACAACCACATCAATAGGTTCACTAACATTGTGTAAGTCACTTAATGATCTAGCGCTATTCGAAATAGAAGAGTTGGTCCCGCTTGAAAGTTTGGAGGAGAAAGCTTCCGTGGACTCACGCATATTCATAAGACTCAATTCGTTAAGGACAATTTCTTGTCCTACTTCAGAGAAGGAAGAAGATCTGCTGCGATTTCTGCTAGAATATTCTCGAGAAGGTGTAGGGCTAAAAATTTCATTGATGTCTTTCCAGCTGTCTAAATCGTGTTCCCTAGCTTGCCTCGTCTCGCAGATTTTTGAGCTCGATGGATTCGCTACAGATACATCATTTGGTGCACAGATTTCTGAAAAGCTCTGGGCTGGCGTACGTGGTGTGTGGATAGGTGTCGGTGCTGTTGTCAGAAAGGCACTTGGAGGTGTTGGATGCGGAGTTGGCGCAGGAGTGTTGCGAGAGCTTGACCACGCACGAACCGGTGTAAGTGGTACGCTGTGACTTGCAGAATAGAGAGGTGTTAAAGGCAAACTCTGAAGAGCTGGAGAGAAAACAGGCCTTTGGTCGGGTTGATCATCATCCCCATTTTCTTCTTGCTGAGTTTGGCGAGCGGCAACAGCTTCAAGGCGCTCACTTAACTCGTTAAGCTGATCAATAATGGCAAGATGTAGTTTTTCCTTTCTTTGAGCAGGGGGTGAGTCTTTGGGAGAAACATCTTTGATTACTTCTTCTACAAAGAGTACAGGGTCATCGGTATCTGATTTTATGTCAGAAATTGCAGCATTTCTTCCGACCTCGTTTGCCTCAGTTTCCAGAACCAGTAGCTGTCCTGTGCGTGGAATTGTAGGGGGTGGCGGGATACGAACAAGTTGGAACACCTCTCTACCACCCTCCGACTCAGTTGAACTGTTGCCTTCTAAGGGAGTCCTTGTACACACTTTCACATACTCTGATGCTACTCCGTCACCAACTGTTCCTTCGATATTTGATACGAACACAGTCCCAATATCATCATCAACCACGCTCGAAATGTTGTCAGTATCATGATGCTCGTCTGTTAGAGAATCCACGAGGCCAATTCTCCTTTTGCGATTGCTTTCTGGAGGGGGAGGAAGCTTAACTAATTCCACATCAATCTCTGCGCTCACATCATTAGAAATCGATGCATCTGATTGAATTCCCCCCACATTTTCGAGCTCCACTTGCATCGGTTGAATACTCAGAGAAACATTGGTAACATCACTGAGAGGCCTCTCAAGGTCTCCAGCTTCCAAACCAATCTGCATGTTACTAGTTGGGTCAACTGTAGCGTCATGCTTATCGGAAGCCACTGACAGGTTTTCCAGGTCATCGCCCTCTCGCATCATCAAGTCGTCATCTGGTCTTTGGATTCCAGCTTCCTCAGGATTTGGCTTTGCGACATTTGCATTTCCTAGATTAGTAATGGACTCACTTGGCTCTGCTAAATCATTTGTTTCTCCCACAGGAACTTGTGAACCCGAAGTTGAACCTAGATTCCTTGGCATTTCTGAAAATGATAGTATGGAACCAGATACCACATTGCCTATTCGTGATTGAGAAGACAAGGTTGCTTTTGAGATACCACTTATGTCCGATCTGTTTCGTTGGTGGGCCGTCACTCCACCTGTGCTCGATAAATTGTCGACAGCTCTTCGATACACATTTTCCATCTCTGTCTTACTTGCCATCTGTCCTTGAAAAGGCTCTAAAAAAGTCGCTCTTGAATCTTCTCGGCGGAAACCATCGAATCTTTGGTACGAATGTATTTCTGCAGGATCAAGGTTAGAGAGTGACACACCAGGCTCGGTAACAAACATCCCACTCAGAGTGTCCACCACACTCGCAGAATGAATGCTAAGCGATGGATCGTACACTTCTCTTCTTCCGTGTTCCTCCTTGTGTGTCAAATCTGGACGAAGCTTCTGAACAAAATAGATCAGGCTTACACCAACGAGAACAGAACAAGATGAAACAAAGAATGCGGTTGTAAAGGAATCCGTGGACTTGTAAAGTTCTCCTGTAAATTTAAAATGCGAGTAAACAAGGGATGTTTAGAGAAAGAGTTTTTCACCATGGTTCCTAACAACGGAATCTTACTCAGAGTTTTCTTTCCCAGGACGCATATCAGTTATGGTGATCTCCTCATGTAGGTAAAAGAACAAGCACACACATGTGGCAATTGGAAAGTTTTCCCATAGATTGGCACAATTAATTTTTAATGATGTGGATTGAAAAATTCCAAGAGTAGTGGGGCCTAGGATCGGGCTGAAATAACGAAAAGAAAAACACATAACACATTTTACATATTTTTAAGATAAATGATATCATTTGATCGTTCCAAAAAAACAATTAGTGCGCGGTTGTTTGAAAGAGTCGACCAAGTAATAACGATGTGCCTGAAGCACGTAGTCTCACCTAAAACGGGAGGTCCCAGGGTTAAAGGAAATGCCACCAAGCCGTACTGGATGCCAAGTGCTTTGGCCATTAGTTCCTTTCCAACAATGTCCTGGGTGATAAGTGGAACCGTCACTACAAAACATCCATCAAAGAATCCAGCAACCAGTGCGTACGCGAGCAAACCGTGATAACTCC